TCCTGAGAAATACCACACGGTACATATATTAGGTCTTTAGGGAAATCGCTAAGTAGCGAAACAAGTAGTTTTTATAATTATTCATTTGATGGAGTATAGGACCAGTGAACTTTTTCCTTATTATTTTAAAGATATAACTAATTTCTAATTTTAGGATAAAACCCGAAAATCTGTTTTTTATTCTCAGAGACGGATACAGGATTCAAATGAGGGGGGTGCTAGATTTATTTCGGAACAAAAAAATTCAGAGTTAGGAATAAAAAGACGTGCCGCATATTGTTGTTCAAATTGTTCTATTCCCGGAGTTATTTTACACTCTATTATGAAATCCATAAAAACACCAAACCATCCCGCTTATCATTGAAGTACACTTTCACCCCAAGAAGTATGAGTTCGCGGTCTGTACAATTCTTGGTGATTTTGCGTACATAAGCTATGTATGTTTATTTATTTATCTATGGTTTTAACGCCAAAATAGAGAATACTGAAAAACCCTGTATTTTTTGCATGTAAAATTTTACATAAGACAACTACAGTATTTAAAACCTACACATATAACTATTCTAAAAAAGTTTCTGTTATGTCTAAAAAACCTCTGCTTGTTGGACAACCTGTATACTAACATAATTTAAAAAAAAAGATTTTATTTTTCAAGTTAACACATTTTGTTTTTCATTAAGTAAATTAAATGAACATTGAAATTATTCAGAGAAAATCTAAAAGAAAACGAAAAAATTGTTTTTCGCTTGTTTTAGAACGAAATCGAGAAAAACAATATATATTCGCTCATCCCTAGTTTTAAGGCGTATGAGTACAAAAGCCTATTGTAGGTTGGTACAATAGAATTTAATAGATAAAATTGTACATTTTACATATAATCTGTAAATGTGTAAAAGAAGTAAACTATGTATTATTAGCTCTAGGCAATAAAGAAGTGTGTATAAACTAAAAGCTCCCTGGACACCCATTATAATTTCTCAAAATAAACTTTTATAAAATATCTTCTGGAATTCTAAAACGTGGTTAGACAAGAACTACTGCAGTCTATTTATTCATGATTAATGTTAGAACGATCGGGAGGGGTTGGGGGGACATTTTTTCAGGCTATACACGGAATAAGATTGAGACTTAAGTCGAAAAAAGGCTTGTTATAATTTTAAAACCTACCTTTGTTGAAGATTTCTTTTCTAGATAAAAATGATCTTTGCAAGACACCAGAGCTAAGAAAAAACATAGAACGGTAAAAAATTGAATAAAGGAATTGAGTCTTTGCCACAAACTCCGGTTTTTAAATCGCTATATCTTAACAACCCAATGTTGTAGACCTTAGATATTTCAAACTATGACTACTGTTGTATCAAATAATCAAAGTTTGAAATATCTAAGGTCTACATAATTTGTTTGTAGATATATAGGTATTAGAAAATTGGGATTTGTTGCAAAGACTCAATTCCTTTGTTATAATCTATTCAGAGCTGAAAACTTTAGAATGGTGGATATCAAGATTAATGCTTAAACTCCTGGTTTTACTAAACCCGAGATTAATTTAATACGCATTCGATATCTAAGAAAGAAGTGTAAAATTCAACCAATCAGCGTATCGTGTTAAATTGTACTCTTTAACTTTTGAAAAACCGTTTTTTTTCTGGTGTTAATTGTGACATCGATTAAAATAAATGAAAGTTTTGGATTCATGTTTGTTAAGACTCCTTTAAAATGATGATAGTCCTAAAATGTGATAAAATATATTTTTTAATAGGTTCATATTAATAATATGATTAAATTTATATTTGCTTAAATGCTCTAAAAGCCGGCTTGTGCATCCGATATTAGTACAATCGATATAGCATTGTATCTGTAATTGTTATCAAACGTAACTTTTATACAGTAGGGATATCCAAAAAGAGGATTTGGAAAAAAATCTAAAGTTTGTACATTGGATACTCAGATTAAGCGATCAGGATTAAGGATATCTCATTCTAAAGTTTTCAGCTCAGGTTAAATATCGAATTACATACAGAGGTCAAAACTTTTGAACTCAATATTTAGAGCGTGTACTTTTAATTAGAAGCAATTAAATGCTTCATCCGAAGAAAACCTGACCCATATTTTAGCGATTTCTTATTGTTGAAAGAAGATTATTTTATGGTTCTTTTGAGATATTCAAATGTACTAAAATTTGTATAGTTCTGGGATTATATAGCAATTAATTTGTATAGTTCTGGGATTATATAGCAATTAATTTGTATAGTTCTGGGATTATATAGCATAATTTGTATAGTTCTGGGATTATATAGCAATTAATTTGTATAGTTCTGGGATTATATAGCAATTAATTATGAAGACAAAAATTTATTAATTCTTTACATGTTGTAATGTTGTCTCTCGATGTCTGTGTTATTTCAATGACACCAAATTTATATCCCATAAGGAATACACAAATTGTTATTAAACAATTAAAGAGTCTTTTCTTGAAACCTACATATGGTCAATATTTGAAAAGGTATCGCTATGGAGGGTACTGTTTTAAATTGTCAAAGGCACATTAAAAATGTTCTTATATTTCTATTTATTTCCTCCAGTAGCTTAAGTTTCTTGACCAACCCTATAAAGGTTTATAGAACTTATTTTCTAATTGCCAGGAAGATTATGAGAATGGTTTCCAGGAAGATGAAAATACTCTAGAACTATCAGAACAACTATAAAACAAAACAATGAGATTTGTCTAATCCAGTATGTAGGTAAGCACATCTATAGTTGGAAATCTATAAAGTTTTACATAAGAATCGTTTTTTTTTTTGTGTTAAACTGAACAGAAAAATTACAGGAATCGAGTCTTTGTCACAAACTCAAATTTTCTAATCACTATATCACAACCTGATAGTGTATTTCAAACTTAGATTATTTGATTAAAGCAGGGAACTTTAGAATGGTGGATATCGAGATTAATGCTTAATCCTCTCTTTTTGCTAATCTCGAGACTAACATAATCTCGAGATTATGTTAGTCTCGAGATTAAATATTTAGATTGAACGCCAGGTTTGTTCGTTTTTTTTTGACTGGAAGGGCCTTCACTTAATTTCTCACCCATTTATTTAGTAATTCATTAGTTAAAATTGGTTAAAAAAGAATCTGAAACGTATTATCAAATATTTTTCTTCGCCGATTAATTTACAAAATGGCCGAAAACATATTCTCTATTTATTAGAAATTGCGGATTTCTCTCATGAGAATTTATTTCAAGGCTGTCATTGGTCAATAAAATTTACGAACTATATTCCTGCACTCTCATTGGAGAAAACAATGTACGGATATCCAAAGAGAGCGAAAAAGAGTGGATTAAGGACTAAAATGAAAAGTTTCCACAGAGTATATTCGGATTAAGTAGTCGGGATTATGGGTTATTCATTCTAAAGTTCACAACTCAGAATTCATAATTTCGACATTGGTTAGCAAAGATATAGGAATTAGAAAATCAGATTTTTGACAAAGACTCAATTCCTTTCTTTTATATAGTTGAGATTGTTGTGGAGATAAATGAACTTTTTGACTACAACCTTGGTTTAGTCAAGGGTCGTTATTTCCTTTTAATAATTAAAAAATATATATATATTTAGTTCAGGGGATGGGATTCACGAGGAGGTTTGCCAGCAGGGCAGACAGTGATAATCACATTGCAGGCACCGAGGTATAGTGGTTCTAGTAGTCCTAGTAGTCCTAGTAGTCCTTGTAGTCCTAGTAGTCCTAGTAGTCCTAGTAGTCCTAGTAGTCTTAGTAGTCCTAGTAGTCCTAGTATTCATAGTAGTCTTAGTCGTCCTAGTAGTCCTAGTAGTCCTAGTAGTCCTAGTAGTCCTAGTAGTCCTAGTATTCCTAGTATTCCTAATAGTTCTAGTAGTCCTAGTAGTCCTAGGAATCATATAGTTGTCCTAGTAGTCCTAATAATCNGGGGGGGGGTAAGGGAGGTTCCAACCCTGTTATTACATGTACATGTATAAATGGAGGGGGTAGGGAAAGTTCTAACCCTGATATACACGGTGTACACTATTAAAGATGTACATTGCACATGTATAGGTGGAGGCGGTAGCGGAAGTTACAACCCTGTTATATATGTACAGTGTACACTATTATACATGTACATCGTATGAGTGTAGGGGGTAAAGGAGGTTCCAATCCTGAATTATGATGTACAGTGTACACTACTTTGCATGTACATGTACATGTACATGTACATGTTCAGGTGGAGGGAGTAAAAGAGGTTCCAACCCTGTTATATATGTACAGTGTACACTATTATACATGTACGTGTATAGGCGGAGGATGTACAGTACACTGTTAAAAATGTACTTGTATAGGTTGATGAAGATAGGAGGTTCAAACCCTGTTATATATGTACAGTGTACACTATTATACATGTACATATATAGGTGGAGGGGGTAGAGGAGGTTTCAACTCTGTTATATATGTGCCGTGTACACTATTATACATGTATACAAGTATCTTTCCAAGGTACAACTCAGATTTTCGTAAACTATCAATGTCTCAACTAGGACACGTTCTTGAGCTATCAATGCCTCAACTAGGACACGATCCTCATCCTGTTTATCAAAACAGTTATGTGCTATTAGATATATAACGTAGTTAAGTGATCACATTCTAGGTTTTGACAGAGTTAATTGTGTTAATCGCAATACATGATTTACGTATTAGCTAATGGGCCCTTAGCTATATGGACAATATACAACGTAACTTACTATGGAACTCTATATTTGCTACATACATGTAAGGTGGAGGGGGTAGAGGAGGTTCCAACCCTGTCCGCCAGGATAGAAGAGAAACAGAAGAAAATAGATTCTAGATCTTCCAGGCATATAAACTACACCAGTACACAGAGCACATCAGAGAGGCAGTTGCCCAAAGGAGTTATGCGCGCTTCCCACGTTGAATTATAAGTGCAGAGGCTAGGGCAGGGTAGGGGGCCGAGCGCCGTGACAAGAAACAGGCTCTCTCTTTATCTTGTAATTCAAAGCGGGATGTGCGCGTAACTCCTTTGGGCTTTGTCCAGCAAATATTAAAAAGATTGTTTGCTTTTTAAAAAATATACAGCGTAACCCGAGAACTTCGGAGAATTAGAAAGAATTATAAAATATCATTTTCTATACATTCTAATTATGAAATGCACCAGATATGTAGGTTTTTTTATTGAATAATCATATGGAGCTCATTACAACTGGTTGCGGGACCATGGCTATTTTTCTACTTTCATAATTACTGGGATAGCAAAATTGTCAAGACTACATTTTATATATTCTTTTGATGTTTCCGAAGTTTTGGGTTAAACTGAACATAATGCCATAATTAATATATAATTAATATATTATGAGGTAAATATACAACCCGGAGTACTCTGAGTAGTCTTATATGCAATATTATTCAGACCTTACAACAACAGCAAGGTTTATCCTAAATCAGGCGATTCAGAAACAGGTGAACATTTTTTTTTTACAAAATCCTTCTTTTAATCTTTTAATATAATCCCTATTCTTGTATTTCTATATTTTACTGTATATTAGTCACTCTGGTCAGACAGACCTCATTGGCTCGTCTATTTTAGTTATTACATGATTTTTTAAAAACTTTTGTTGGAAATTCCAGCACGCTTTGTTTGATGGCTGATGAAGGAAGATACAAATAATAATCCTCATTTGCCGTGACTGATTATTGGCGGAAGATGAAGTGACAACGTTGTGGTGAGAGGGTGGGGGAGATTTTCTCCACTTGTCAGCTGTAAAAAGCAGAGAAAATCCTTCATCTCTCTTCCCAGAAACGTTGTCACTTCATCTTTCGTCAATAATCAGTTTTACTTCATATGCGGATTTTGAGTGTCCGTTGCTATGGAGATGACATTTCCCGAGATTTAAGACACGGCTCAAATTCATTAAATTCGGACACAGAGTATAAACAACCTTGAACTGAAGAGAAGTGGTTCAACTAGAGTCTTCATAGTTGAACTACTTTTTGATTCATTAAATTTGATCCTTGATATGTTAGTTGGGTGTGGTTTAAATTATTTTGAGACTAAGAATTCAAAAATCGGAGTTGTTTCAAGTAATTCGATGCTATAACATTTAGAAATTGCTATAACATAAAGAAATTAATCTTGATGAAAAATTATGAGATTAGAAGCCTAAAAACCTGACACAGTCTTGTATTGAACAATAACAGAACTTTGAAATATTAAAGAATTGAGAAATACAATTAATTTCACAAAATATCTATTCTTTTAAATTAAGAAATGTTAAAATTATTTGATTTCTAAGACTAAAAGCAGTATGAAGCGTATTAAATGATTAAATTATGATTTTCATTAATCAATGTATAAAAGTATCTGTGATTAAAAATAAGAAATTAAAGGGTTGAAAGAAAAATTCCTTATCCTTAGAAAAATAATGTTAAAACTATAGGAAAAGATGAAAATAAATAAATTAAAAAGTGTGTTACATAACACATAATAATAATTTTTAATAATCTGTAATCCTTTTTTCCCAATCACTGCAGCCATGGCCATCACCATCATCAATTTGTATATTAGTCATGGTCAATCTCTCTCTCTCAAAAAAAACTTTAGTTACGTGTCTATTGATATTCTTGGTATCCAACTTGGTCTTAATTGTGGCAAATTATAACTATTTGGTCAGAAATTGTCCACAACTTACAAATTATGCAGTCATTAAGGGATTCCTTTTTTTTAAAATAATTATTAAAATAACTTCCATTATTGAACATTTAAAATAATGAACATTTTATTATTAATGTTCAATTGTGTACATCAAACATTTCGTACTGCACAGATACAAAGTTTGTGGATGTTTTTTTAGAGGAGAGTTAGAACGACAGAAAAATCTTGATTTATGAATCAAGAGGTAACTAATAAATAAATCTCTGTGTATTCAGGAAGAGAAGAATTAGAACGGCAAAAAACTCTTGATGTATATCAATCAAGAGGTAACTAATAAATAACTCTCATGTATATTCAGGTAGAGAAGAGTTAGAACGACAGAAAACTCTACACACAAAAATATGTTTGTTTCTCTGTACAGTGCTTCCCTTTGTAACTTTAGGAAAATAATTACATTCTAAGGATAAATAATCAATTTTTTACGAAATGCACAAACAAGTTTTTTTCTGGTAATTCTGATATACTTTGTTGTATATAGAGGGTATAATAAATGGGTTAAGAAATATTTGATATTTCTCAAAGTTAAAATTTCGTTTTATTGGGTTCAGTTCAAAATGAGTAGATACATATTTGTGCAAAATTTCAATTTGCTGTGCTTGTCAAAAAAAATTAAATAAAATCAGTGTTTTGGCCATTTTAAATATACGTGCATGAGATAAAACAATTCTGATATTTCAATTTAAGTTTAATTTTTTATTAAACAAGATAATTTAATAAACTTGTACATGAGCATAAATAGTTTTATATTGCAGATACCACTCAAAAGATTTGAAACAATTTCCATTGTTGACTGTTTATCATAAAAACTAAATATAAATAAAAATATTTCCATTTTGCAAAGAATCCTTTGTTAAATCAGTCTCGTAAAAAGTTGATTGTATAAACTGAGCTAATAAAGTTTTGTATCAAAGTTTTATTGAATTTGATTCAGTCTAATTCGCCTCGGGCAAAAATTCTTTAAAATTGGAACGAAGGATTTGAGTCTTTTCCACAAACTCAAATTTTCTAATCCTTTGATATTTTAAACTTAGATAAATTGATCTAACAGAATTTCTAGTTTGAGATATCACAGGTCTACGACACAATGTGATTTAAAGGGTAATATTACATCGTCTAAACGCAACATCCCACCTACTGAACTTCCGACCTACTAGCATTCCTACCTATTGCAATATCGGACCTACGCCAGCTGTTTATTTTTGTATTATTTAAGGGTAAGGATAGGTTAAGACAATATCTGGCCCAAGTGCTGCAGCTAGGATAGGCTAGGGGGCCAAGCGCTGCGGCTAGGACAGGCTAGGGGGCCGGGTGATGCGGCCACAAGTCCATCTAGAAGATGCAAAACCACGTGCTAGTAGGTCGGATGTGTAGTATACCGGATTTGGCGTAGGTCAGAAGTGGAGTACAGCGGATTTGGTAGGTCGAAAGATACACTATCGATTTAAAGGTCTTAAGCTCTCGAACAAAAATCGATGAGAATTTTGTCAATCATTTCTTAAAACCTGCAAAAGCTACCGACAAGCACTTAAAAGTGCTAAAACATACATATAAAAAGCTTCAGAAATGCATAAGTGAGTTGTATCGGTAAAATCAAAGCCCAAGGCATTGCAACACTTCAAAGTCAACCCTGCCTCAAAAGTTTAAGTGACTTTTTTAAAGCAGGCTGAATCTATGTGTCGACATTTGGGTTGCAAAGATAACAAAATCAGAGTTTGTAGCAAGACTTCATTTCTTTTCACTTCACAAACCTTCAATCAAACCTTACTTAAGTCTTTGGAAATCTAACTGAACATGATATAAAAAATAACGTCTCTAAGATGTTAATGAATTAACCTTAAAAGAAAAATGTAACGGGGTCAAACCCGACCGCTCTACTTTTCAATAATTATTTATCAATATCACACCTCGATTGGATTCTGCTGAGCAGACTGGAATCCCTATCTTGCCAACCATTGTAATGTATATCGTCTGAAGATGGTTGAAAAGTTGTCATTAATTCAATCTACAAAGAATGAATCCATTACTTCAGAAAATACAATATGGTAATACAAGAAGTTTGAAAATAACCTATGTACAATCTAAGGTTAACGATTTGAAAACGAACTTTTGTCACGTTCTTTGACGGAATTTTGAAAAAAGTTGATAATAAAAAATGTTCAATTGATTTACAGCATCCTAAATCTTCATATCAATCATTACTCAACAAAAACAAAACTAATTCGAGTCCTAATAATACAATTATTCGTCTGTGTGTAGTTGCCACCCTTCACCGCCTCTGGTTTATGGGTATAATCAACTTCGTAGAAATGGAGGGTAAATATATTTTTAAAGATCTATTGGGTCATTGTATAGTACTTTAAAAGTAGTTTGATAATAATGGGACTGTGCATAATTTTTATGGCAAAATGAATTGAAAATTTAACCGTGATTAATTTTGAACTCCCATGTTGAAAAGTGAAACCGCTTTTTAAAACTTTTAAAAAATGTGTGTGTATATCTAAAAATTAAAAAAATAGAAAATGTGAATCAAGCTTTTTTAAAAATTCAGTTATTGTCTAAGCGAGGTGTAACTTTCAAATACAATTTGAACTTTTATACATAAATATTTCGCTTTTTAATATTTTTTTGGGTGGGGGCATTTACTATAGACAGACTACAGATTGTTTAAGTATAGTCCAAAGCGCAATTAATTTTAATTAAAGAAACCGACCCTATATCGCCCCGCAGTTAGTCCAGGGTCACAATTGGACAATTATAAATTACAAAATTCAATTCGATAATTAGATAACTAGAAAAGTCTATAAGAGCTTACAGAAACATTGTCAATAAACGTCAATGAAAAACAAGGAAAATAAGAACAATTATAAAAAGTTTCAATATGTTCAGATTGCCCTGATAAACATATGTTTAAATTGCCCTGACGAATATATGTTCAAATTGCCCTGATAAAGATATGTTCAGATTGCCCTGAAGAATATATGTTCAGATTGCCCTGAAGAATATATGTTCAGATTGCCCTAAAGAATATATGTTCAGATTGCCCTGACAGATATATGTTCAGATTGCCCTGAAGAATATATGTTCAGATTGCCCTGACAAATATATGTTCAGATTGCCCTGATAATTATATGTTCAAATTGCCCTGATAAAGATATGTTCAGATTGCCCTGACGAATATATGTTTAAATTGCCCTGACGAATATATGTTCAGATTGCCCTGATAATTATATGTTCAAATTGCCCTGATAAAGATATGTTCAGATTGCCCTGATAAAGATATTTTCAGATTGCCCTGATAAAGATATGTTCAGATTGCCCTGACGAATATATGTTTAAATTGCCCTGATAAAGATATGTTCAGATTGCCCTGATAAACATATGTTTAAATTGCCCTGATGAATATATGTTTAAATTGCCCTGACGAATATATGTTCAAATTGCCCTGATAAAGATATGTTCAGATTGCCCTGATAAATATATGTTCGGATTACCCTGACAAATAAATGTTCAGATTGCCCTGACACATATATGTTTAAATTACCCTGACGTATATTTTTTCGGATTACCTTAACGAATATATGTTCAGATTGCCCTGATATGCGCATATTGTCCTGACGAATATATGTTAAGATTGCCCTGACGAATATATGTTCAGATTGCCCTGACGAATATATGTTCAAATTGCCCTGAAGAATATATGTTCAAATTGCCCTGAAGAATATATGTTCAAATTGCCCTGAAGAATATATGTTCAGATTGCCCTGACGAATATATGTTCAGATTGCTCTGACAAATATATGTTCAGATTGCCCTGACGAATATATGTTTAAATTGCCCTGATAAAGATATGTTCAGATTGCCCTGATAAATATATGTTCGGATTACCCTGACAAATAAATGTTCAGATTGCCCTGACACATATATGTTTAAATTACCCTGACGTATATTTTTTCGGATTACCTTAACGAATATATGTTCAGATTGCCCTGATATGCGCATATTGTCCTGACGAATATATGTTAAGATTGCCCTGACGAATATATGTTCAGATTGCCCTGACGAATATATGTTCAAATTGCCCTGAAGAATATATGTTCAAATTGTCCTGAAGAATATATGTTCAGATTGCCCTGACAAATATATGTTCAGATTGCCCTGAAGAATATATGTTCAGATTGCCCTGAAGAATATATGTTCAGATTGCCATGACAAATATATGTTCAGATTGCCCTGAAGAATGTATGTTCAGATTGCCCTGAAGAATATATGTTCAGATTGCCCTGAAGAATATATGTTCAGATTGCCCTGAAGAATATATGTTCAAATTGCCCTGACGAATATATGTTCAGATTTCCCTGACGAATATATGTTCAGATTGCCCTGACGAATATATGTTCAGATTGCCCTGACGAATATAAGTTCAGATTTCCCTGACAAATATATATGTTCAGATTGCCCTGACGAATGGTTGGTATGGGAAGGAAACTGTTACTTCTTTATGCCCCAACCCCAGACATGGCAGGAAGCCGTAGATACATGCTCCAGACTTGGTAAACACATAGTATAAACGCAATTGGAATTGAGTCTTTGTCACAAACTTTATATACTATATCACTATATCATTGCAACATTTCGAATTTGGATTCTTTTATCTAACAAAATTCAGAGTTTAAAATATATGTATAAGCTCTACTACATTGGTTTGCAGACATAGGGGTAAAAAATTCAGAGTCGTGGCAAAGACTCGATTCCCTTGTTTTAAAAATAATATTCAAGGACATACAAACACACATAAAAGAGAACTTACAATGATTTTTTATAAAGAAGCGGTAAATGATTATTGAAACTTCAAAATTTCCAATATTCTTTAAAATTCAAACCTGTCGGGAAACTTTCATCGTGTAGTAATGAATATATGACCATAATAAAAAAACTAATATTAGAGTTACTGTTACCGCTATTTCAAGTGACCCTCCAATTATAGCGTTGCATGTATGATTCACAGGAGTACGCTTAAACGCATTGCCTGATCGAGAATTATTGAGATATCCATTTTTTCTCTTTGAAAATTGATTATGTTCAATAGTGGATACTTAATAAAAGTGACTTGCGAATTTAGTCTACAAAAACAATGAGAGGAAATTGTTGTATTTAAACACTTTAATGTTAGAAAAACGACGATCTTTAAAAAAATTGACCAGCAACAAGTTGAAATAGTACCGTGGTTCGGGTATTAACCTCTTTTAAACAGTAGTCTTGAAATTACACTGACACAGTCCCATTAACCCCCTGGTTCTGGTTTATAGAATCTTCTCTCCTGGTTGATATATCCTCTGACGATGAAAGTATGTTCCTGGAGAAGATAACTCTCTCCGGTATCTGGACTGCAGGCAAACTGAACAGACAGGTAAACCAGGGTTGGAGCTGTAAAACGTCGTCTTCTTCTTCATTGGCGCAACTTGTAGATTTCTAAGGGGGACTCGACGGGGAACTCGACGAAATATGAAAGATAAAGTTTTATTAAGAAATCTAAAGTAAAAAAAAGGAGAATCTACCTTATCTTCCTCGCCACGTTGGCTAGAGACATTTTATTCTTTTATCTTTATTTTCCTCTTCTAGTTAAACCTCCCTTCAACTAATTACTGGGTAAGATTTCCATGCGGGATATAAAATAGAGATTAGATTAATCTGAAGAAATAGCTGTTCAGACCCTTTCATTTATGGTGCAGAAAGGTTTACCTACAAAGAAAGAGAGATTAAAACTTTTTAAAAACGACAATTATAAATCCAAAGTTTTGTAGAAAATACAATCTCGAAAAACTCTTACATGATATGACAAAGATAAGATAATTAAAAAGACGTCAGCTGCCAAAAATAATCATTGCAGCTTATGTCCCTTGGCAGTCTCATGCTATGAGGGTATCCCAGTTTCTTCCATGATTGAAAATACATCTTTAATTTTGTGTTTAGGGTTGGGAATGGGAACCGATGGGTTGGAGTATACAGAAGGATAAAATTAAACAAGATAAACAAAAGATTAAGAAGAAGAAGAGGGATAGAACAATCACAGTTTTGGATGGAGCTGGAAGAACACTGGGAGGTGGAGAAGCGAGGCTTGTTAGAAGAGTAGATGGTGGAATAGATGGTGATATAGATGTACCAGTAGATGGGGGAGTGTATGATAAAGTAGATGGTGGAATAGATGGTGGAATAAATGGTAATATAGATGTACCAGTAGATGGTGGAGTATATAATAAAGTAGATGGTGGAATAGGTGGTGGAGTAGATGGTAGAGTAGATATTGGAGTAGATGTTTTAGTAGATGGTGTAGTAGATGATGGAGTAGATGGTGGAGTAGATGGTGGAATAGATGGTGGATTAGATGGTGGAGTAGATGTTGGAGTAGATGGTGAAGTAGATGTTGGAGTAGATGGTGTAGTAGATGGTGGAGAAGATGTTGGAGTAGATGGTGGAGTAGATGGTGGAGTAGATGGCCAAGGAAAGTATACTGGTGATATACCTCGTGATAAACCTTCACTGTATCGTGCAGAAGAATTAGCCTTAGGTAGATAATTTCATAAGATCAAGTGCAAAACTTAAATTGTAAATCCTTCTTATTTTACAGAAAATTTCTCCGACAGTTCCATATCTTCTCCGTACTCTACACTGAACCCGGAGAAATCCGAACCTGAACCTAGACAATTTAATAATAGTCTCTTATATCTCAACCTTTACTCGGAGAACAGTGGTAAACCAAAAGTTCTAGGATCCACTTCTCATGTTTCTGAGTCCAAAACTAGAAGTGTATTAGAACTAATTGATGATTCTTATAATTTTCCTAAAACAACCATATCTCCGAGAAGAAAAGAATTAACTAAAACTCCGGAGATTTCTCCTGGAAAACATTCTTCTCTTAGTACTAGTTCATATCCTCGTTCTCATCCTACACCTCTCACATCAATACTCAGACATTTGAGTCCAGGTAAAATTCTAATTATCAAAGTTTGAAATAGAAAAGGTTTACACAAAGATATAGAGTAAAAATTTAAGTTTTAGACGAGAAATCACTCATTAGTTCCTTTGTAAAAAGTGAAGAAAAAAAAATTGTGTAAAAATTTAATCAAGATGATTATTTGCGTCCGGACCCTCTATTGTGTAAATGTTGTTTTTTTGCCAGTGATATAAAGTTTTATCTTTATTTTCCTGTTTTCATATTTAATAGGTTCTCAACATTCTGCAAATATTCTTTTTACATCTCAATGTTATCTTGGTAGAATTTTTGGGCCGTATTAAAAACTAAGTGGAACAGGGAACGGACTGGGTGTTGCAAAAACTTTAAAAATAAGCGGATTTTTTTAGGCATAATTTTTCTCCTTTTCTTCTAGATAAAGCCCTTAGTAGATTTTGAAAACGCCAATTTTTTATAAGTATTCTTTAAAAAATATTTATATTATACTCTCGGAAAATGCGGTATTATTATCACAGAAGAAATTTTTTGACACCCTGTACACTATTTTCTGTCCAATAAACTAGAATATTACAGTGTTGAGACATTTCATGGAAAATATATTTTAAAGACATGTTCAAAAATAAAAGCAAAAACCAGACAGAAAGATAAAAACACACATTCAAACCAACCAATAAAGTTTACTTTATAAAAAAATATTTTTTATTTAAAAAGGACACATTTTATCAAATTCCATATGTAAATAAACTGTTCCCCTGTCCTTACAAACTGTTCCCCGGTCTTTATAAAATGTTACCCGGGTCTTTACAAACTGATCTCCTGTCTTTCTAATCTGTTCCCCTGTCTTTACAAACTGTTCCCCGGGTCTTTATAAACTGTTCCCCTTTCTTTCTAAACTATTCTCCTGTCTTTCTAAACTGTTCTCCTGTCTTTCTAATCTGTTCTCCTGTCAAAATCTAAACTGTTTTCCGGATCTTTATAAACTGTTCTCTTGTCTTTCTGTTCCCCTGTCTTTATAAACTGTTCCTCTGTCTTTCTAAACTGTTCCCCTGTCTTTCTAAACTGTTCTCCTGTCTTTCTAATCTGTTCCCTTATCTTTATAAACTGTTCTCTTGGTCTTTATAAACTGTTCTCCTGTCTTTCTAATCTGTTCCCTGGTCTTTATAAACTGTTCTCCTGTCTTTCTAATCTGTTCCCCTGTTTTTATAAACTGTTCTCCTGTCTTTCTAATCTGTTCCCTTGTCTTTATAAACTGTTCCCTTGGTCTTTATAAACTGTTCTCCTGTCTTTCTAATCTGTTCCCCTGTCTTTATAAACTGTTCCCTTGGTCTTTATAAACTGTTCTCCTTTCTTTCTAAACTGTTCGCCTTTCTTTATAAACTGTTCCCCTATCTTTCTAAACTGTTCTCCTTTCTTTATAAACTGTTCCCCTGTTTTTCTTTCGTGATGTCTGTAAAACCACTTTTTCTCTCTAAAACGTTCTTGTCCTGTCCTTTTAAACTTATGCCCTGTCTTTATAATCTCTTGTCCTGTATTTTAAGTCTCTTTTCCTCTCTGTATAATCTATTGTTCTGTCTCTATGTATCTTGTTCTGTCTGTATAATCTATTGTTCTGTCTTTATGTATCTTGTCCTATCTGTCTAATTTCAATTGTCCTGTCTGTTTAATCTCAATTGTTCTGTCTGTTTAATATTAATTGTCCTGTCTGTATAATCTCAATTGGGGTGTCTGTATAATCATAATTGTCCTGTCTGTATACTCTCAATTGTCCTGTTTGTATAATTTCCTGTTCTGTCTGTATAATCTCCTATCATGTCTGTACAATCTCCTGTTATCTCTGTATAATCTCCTGTTATGTCTGTTTAATCTCATGTTATGTTTGTAAAATCTCTTGTTATTATCGTATAATCTCCTGCTATGTCTGTATAATCTTCTGGTATGTCATTATCAATATAATCTCCTGTTATGTCTGAATTTCTCCTGCGTTATGTCTGACTTATCTACTGTTGTCTGTATAATTTCCTAATATGTCTGCAAAATCTCCTGTTATGCTCGTATAATCTCATGTTGTGTCTGTATAATCTCCTGTTATGCCTGGATTATCTCCTGTTATGTTTGGATTTTCTCCTGTTAGGTTAGGAGCATAGTTTGCTTTCATAGTTTGCTGGACTTTTCTACACATTTTTCAGCATGTTTTATTTCGGGTAGGAATACTATAGTGGGAGGAGGGGGGGGGGATGTGACGTCTGCCATCCTGTATATTTGTGAAAAAAAATAGATAGTGTAAAGCTCAAATCCCCATCTAATTTTCCTGTTTTCTTCTTCTTTCTTGTTTTTATTGGGTTTAAACTTTAAGGGTTTTCCAAATAGTTCTTTTGACATCGAGTTGTGGAGTAGGTAGCAGAGAGATAAGGAGGTTTGTAGGAGAAAGGGTATACAGAAGATTTCTCCTTTTTTATACTTTTTCCGATTTAAGGGGGATTAAGGAAAACAAATCACTGCACCCCTTATGAAAAATTGGGAGTTATGAGCCCTGAAGCTCTCCTGAGAGGAATCTTCCTTAGCAGTCCAGTTCTCCCATCTGGTCGAGTAAAAAACCTGTATCGTTGTGCTTGGCTTGTATACCCACAAGGGGTTAAACTCCTTTTTTCAGTTTACCAAGCTAAAGATGAAGTTTTGTTTTGATCTATGTACATTCTTGCTTCCCTTGTAGGATATAAGATGCATAACTAAACTCAGCGCTTCTCCAGCTGTAATTCTGGGACCGCATAGAATAGGCCCACTCTCCTCGGAGGCAGTCAGGCAACTGTGTTATGTCTGTATAATCTCCTATTTTGTCTAAATAATCTCTTGTCATGTGTGTATATTATGTTTTGTGTTATCTCCTCTTATAAATCAGTATTATCTCTTTTTATGTCTATTTAATCTCCAGTTTTGTCTGTAAAATATCCTATTAAGTCTTTGTGCGCTTTTGAATTTAACACACAAAAACTAATATCGAGATTAAGCTAATGATCTAGTTGCATTATGATTGCATGTTTTTAATATAATAAAAATGCGAAGCAGAGTTTGGAATTTATCAAGTTGTTGCGTTTAGTGTTTGTTTAAGTACAGCTTTTTACTGAATATAGTTTCTAAAACTGAAATTAAGCTCACTTTCAGGATTATAAACTTGAAGTACAAAAACTTTAATTTTATAATTATATTCTCCTCGTTTTAGAAGTAGAGTCTTGTTTACTGTTCCGTGGGGGAATCTGGATCAAAGACGACTGCTCCGCCAAAAGGAAATTATTGTTTTAAAAGTTTTTCATTTCTTTTAACTGCAGAAAACTTCATTTTGTTTTCAAAATTATTATTAGTTTGGTTAGTTTATTAACAAAAAAATTTGAAAAGAGGTTTTGTGTGTAAACTGTCTCCAGGAGGACGAGTGAAGAAAGAAAAGGTTTCCTGCAGGAACAAACAAGAAGTAAATCTGTACAATAGTAATCTTTATTATATATGCAAAGACGACAAATAATTCATTCAAATTTAGCGCGTTAACGAAAAATATTCTGCGGTCTGAACTTTTTATTTTCTTGCTTTAGATTAATCAAACCTTCTGAGATATCCATAAAACTATTAACTTAATCCGTTCAACCACAGGGTTATCCACAACAGATGAGCTTGTAAAGACGACTTGAATCTCTTTAAATATGACGATTCTGACTTCTGAGGCTAAGTTAAGTCTTCTTCCGATAATCTGTTTAATAATTAGACAAAGAAATAATAATCATGAAGGTAAAACAACAGACAGTTTAAATTCTGTACAGTCGGCTCTAAACAGACAGTTTAAATTCTGTACAGTCGTCTCTAAAGTTTCATTCTTAGTGGGTCAACCTGTCCAAGGCAGGTATTTACGCAGTCTGACGGGATTAACAATACAAAAGCTCAAATCTCTGCAGCATAGTTTCCTATGATTTTATTGCTGTATTCATTGTAAAATTAAACTGCCCACCATATTGTTCCATTTCCCATAAGTTAGGTTTCCATAATTTTACATTGTATAAGAAAAGGAATTAGGTGTTTTGAGGTGCCGCGGCTAAAACCTGCATCATATATCTGAAAATCGGATACAGTGAGAACCATATAACTATGGGATAGGAAGACGACTGAGACACAGCAATTGTGAAGTGTAAGCAGACCCTTTTCACCTCATAAGTGATTTAATAAGGATCTAGTAAAACTATTTGCTTTGTAGCAACATCAGATAACTATTGCTTTCAATGTCGTCTTCCTATTCCATAGTTTTCTGGTTCTTACTGTATAAAAGCATTTTTTACGAAATCATTAAATTAAAGATGATATTGGTTATGCAGCTGTAAATATGTATAAAGATGATTGTTAATGTATTTACTTTAATATTACACAAAGACGACTGCACACATGGATATTTTAAAATCCAAGTTGTAGAAAAAACTGATTCAGAACGATTACCGGTTGCCCCAAACTATAATTTTCTGAACTCTATAACCTTTTACATTGTATTTTTAAACCTTGGAATGAAAAACTTGGAATATTGGATCTAACAGATTTCTTAGTTTCAAATATCAAAGTTCTACTAAATCACATGGAAAAAAGTATAAGGTTTAGAAAAATAGAAAATATGCCGAGTAATAAGTTTCTTAACTTAATGAAAAAGTCATTAATATGTTCAATAATTAATGAGTCTTCTATAAAGCACGCAATACAATTTTGGCAAGTGTAGTGTTTAAATCTGAATAATTTACGATCATCACATTGCATTAATGGATATTAATAAGCTTGTAAACTATAAATGCAAAAAACAGAAATTTTTGGTGTGAGTAATCAATTTTCATGTATAGTAGTAGTGCTAACATGGTTAAACTGAACTATTTTATGATAGTTCTCCATAGTAAATCTCCTGATTTTAAGCTGCTTAGAATTTATCTCCATTTATATGGGAACTAAATAGAATAGAGCAAACTGATTGAAAATATGCCCTTTCTGCTTTTTTATCCTGATTAGATCATTTCGATAATTTTGTAAACAATTTAACAATGCTGGTGTAATATCAATTTTATAAATCGTTAAATAAATCTGAATTAATTCCATGGTTTTCTTTCACATAAAAATGTATGCGTTTATGTTTTTATCTTAAAAAGTAAATGTGTTAAAAATAAAAGAAAGAATGAAGAAAGATACATATTACATAAGGTATTTTATCAAACTCAAACTTCATACAAATCAACATTTACACTTTTTTCTTATGATAATTTCTAATTTCACTCAAGGGTGGGGGAGGGGTTAAAGAATACTTTTCATTATTTTATTCAAATTTTGTGTTACGTCATGTTGAATGTAATCTGAGCCCAAAACTTAAGACAGGGTATCGTTATGAAAACCAGTTTTAAAACCCGGGTTTTACGAATAAGATTAAGCAGTTTTGTGGATATCGATATTTTTGTTATGAAATATTTGTTTCTTCCTATTCTCCATTTTTCTCGAATCTCTCAAATAAAAATCTACAAAATGTTAAGACCCCAAAAAGGAAACTCAAGGGTTTCGTTGAACGATACTCTTTTAAATTTCGGGCTCAGGGGGGGATAGTTCTCTACCTGTGTGCTCAGTTAGCTGTGTACTGTTATACACTTACAACTGTTTACTAATATTGATATACTATAGGAACTATAGGTTAGGCCAGAATCAACATAATCAATCATAGTAAACAAATATGCAATACGCTCTCGGAATAGTTTATGGCTTATAAAATTAGTAAAGGGTTAGCGTACACATCACTCTATACACTTCATACACTAATACACTATAACCTCATTGAATATAATGGTTTAAAATATTTTACCCGGTTTTTTTTTAGAAGAACATCTTATGAAGGTACAATAGACATAAAACAATTCATGGAAATTTGTATTTCATAATATCTTGAGCAAATCAAAACTACTATAATGCTCCTTACCTAAAATATGTTAATTTTTAGTTTTAGATTCTAAAAATCCCAGCGATTATCACCTAAAAGTTGCAGCTTAGGAGTAAAATAAGAAAGAAAACAGAAAAGTGCGTGGTCCGGACGAAAAATAGGTACGTGAACGTAGTCTGGACGAAAAATAATTAGCACTTTATTTTAAAAATATCACTATTATTAATAATTTTGTCGGACACAAAAACTAGGTTGACACTTGTGACATACAGTTGTACGAGGGAGGGAGTCCAGAGTTCCTCAAATAGTAATCACTGCCACCCAAATCTGTTTTGCGGCAAGCGCGCTCCTAAATTGGTAATCTCCACCACCTCAAATAGTAATCACCCCAAAAAAGCATAAAATTAAATCGTTTATTTCTTAGAAATAAGACCATATTGACCTCTTTTAATGGCCCTATGGTGTACAATATTGTTAAAGCTTTCTTTATTGCTCCTTAGTTTCGAAAATAAATCAATAAATATGCCACACTAAGTGCTAGAAATATATTACGTTTTTTAGTTTCAAGTTGCGCTTTAAGAATGTTTGCGGCATTTTCCTCTGAATGTTGTTTTAAACTCCTTATATAGAGAGGAAANATTTTCAGATTTTCTGGATTCATGAATTCATTTTTCATCGAAAAAAAAATCTTTAGCACACAGGCCTCAATTGAAAAGTATTTTTGTAAAACAAAACAAAAGGGGGTAACATTTTTTTCCCCTTTTTCCCCTTTTTTCCATGTTTTTTAAAGCTTTTTTTACGAAAAAGTATGATTCAAAGACAAGCAAGGTGTTTTACCTGTTAGTCAAGAATCTCATTACGAAGTTAAAGGTTTTTAAGATCACTTTTCCCCCTTTTTATCATATTTTCCCACTTTTTTAATATTTTTTACAATTTTTATATTTTTCACATTTTCTGGATTCATGGATTCATGGATTCTTTTGAAAACAGACCTCAATTAGATACTTTTTAAAAAAAGAAAAAAAAATGTTGGGAAACATTATATCCCCCCCCTTTTTTCCATGTTTAAAAAAAATTCACCAAAAAGTGTGATTCAAAGACAAGCTAAGGGTTTTAAACACCTACTTGTAAGTCAAGAATCTTATTACTAAGATCAGAACGAAGGCGGCAGCCTTGGATATCCATATCTGGGACCTTTTAACTTGCATATCATTAGTCATTACTCTTCAAAAATTTGGGTGAATTTTAGTGAAGGTACCTTTTATCTAGACTTATTTTTAGGAAACCTAAAAGGTCAAATTCATTACCTGGGGGGGCAGAAATCGTTCTCTAGAAAAGTACCAAATTAACAATATTTATTTTGTATCATTTTAGGGGTAAAAATTAGGTTGAGGCAATTTCCGGGCCGAGCGCGGCTAGGACTGACCAGGGGCCTGAGTGCCGCAGCTAGAAGGCCGGGCGCTGCGACTACACGCCCATCTTTTACTACATAAAAATAAGTTAAAATAATGTTCAAAATTTATAGGAGGGGGGGGGGGGGGGCCAAAAATCGTTTTTTAGGAAATAAACTGAGTTTCAAAACTTTAATATCTGACTGTAATATTTATAGGTGCTATATTTCTTCAGTGTTCCTGTGTTGAGAGCAAAACAATTGCGTACATTGCTACGCAGTTAGGATTGGAAAACGTTTTTAGAATTCTCGAGTTTTCTACCCGGGTTGGGTCCAAGAAACTGGGGAACACGGCTAAATATTATATTGAAACCGTGTTTTCAGTCTTCTTGAATCTTGCAACAAAAACTGGAAAGGTTTGTAGGCCGATTGTGGCGTATGGGGAGGGTGGTTATAGGGGTTCAGCCCCCTCCTGGAACACTGAAATCTATGTTTCCAGATGTTTTTAGGTCCTGAGCCCCCCCCCCCCCGAAAGATATTTTTTCTAGTCTCACCCTTCGGAAAAATTCCTGTAAACGATCCTGGGATTGATTGTTTAAACATGTGTGCTCTGTAAGGGTAAATGTTAAGTTAAAAATCCAACACCACCCCCTCTTAAAAAACTAAATCGTTTTTTTTTTAATTTAACAGGTGTAAATAAGAGATTTTAATGAGAAAATAAACGAATTGTTTGGTAAAACTTTACAACTGAATCTGATGTCAAATTTTTTGTTTTTTTCAAATAATTCTAATATAAACCCCTTAGTATTTAAAGAATTTGATTTGTCTACCACCCCTGCTCATTTCACCTTTTAATGCAAGCGCAAAAGCGAGGGGGAAGGGATGGGGAGACAGCCAATTGTATTCTAAGAAATCATGTTTATATCGTTTTTTATGTGTGTTTTCCTGTTTATTTATAAAGCCTTTTTTTTTTAACTAAAAGTTTTGCTTTTAGGTCGAAGAATTTCTAGATTTGAAGATTGAACATGTTTTGTCAACTCTGGATATTGATATTCAATGCGGAGAGGACCTGCTTTGTTTTGCAGCTATAGGAAAGAATTCAACAAGAAAAATTTTAATAAGATTAATATAGGATTGACAAATACAGCATGAAATATAAAGACTGGGGGAATGTACCATTAAATTTTCTCATATTTTGATTTGGATTTTCTGAAAAATAAACTCGTTGGATTTCTAGGATCAAAAAGTAAATGAGATGTTTTCCTTTTCCAGATAGAACACCCTTTTCTATTATTTTATAGGTTAAAAGTTAGTTCTAGTTTGTTGTCGTTGGGATAGCTTAATTAACTGCTAAAGTTACGTGCCATCAATTTTTTTTGAAACAGAAAAAGTTGAATCTTTTTTAGGCTGGATAGAGCATAAACAAGAAAGGTATATATAGAGTAATAAAGACTAGAATAAAAATCAAATTAATTTTATTTCGTAAAATTTATGTTATATTTTAGGTATCAGTATTTTGTACCGATTTTTAGTAAACTAAATATTGCTCTTCTCTCTCAGTCCTGCCTTGAACTCCTTCAGGAGGATAAAGATCTCCAGGTTCACTTGGAAGCTTGGAGTAAACAAATAGAACTCAGGTTACAATTATATCATATTTTTCCCATTCTTTCTCTTTTCTTTCGTTTCCATCGGCGTAAATATAATTTTTCTTATTCTGAAAGTATTTGAAACAAGAAACACTCGTTGAAATTTGGATAAACGATGATTTTTTTTTTGTTGAGCGGAATATTTAAAATCAAAATTTTGTCATTTTGACTTTGCTTTATAAAAAGTTCCCTCGACTAATAAATATATATTTTAAATTCTTTATTAAGATTCTAGTTCAAACCTGTTTCTTTAGTTTAAAATACCTCGGCCAGTCTGTAGATAGTACTGTGAGACGGTTATCAGAGTTGAAGAAGTATCAAGGGTTCAATGCTCGCTGGCCTAAAATAATTATCGCCTGTACTGTAGGTAGGATAAAAGGTGGTGGGTTCAGGAGGGAAGTTTATCGTTGACGACAACCCCCCNCCCCCTCCTTTCCCCCTCCTAAAAAATGGGTTTTCTCCTCATTATACATTCAGGTTTTTTCACAAAAGGGGAGGGTTAGTTTAACCTATTTGAATACATTTGGGAATCCTGACCTGAGGAATATGAATGAAATTTTGCATCTGGGCATCATTTGTGTTTGTTTTAACAAATTGTGTTTTAAGTAAAAAAAGTAGAAAAAATTGTTTAAAAAATTTTTTCCCTCCTTTCCCCCATTCCTACATGTTTTTTTTAAGCTTTTTCACCGAAAAGTCTGATTCAAATACCAGCTAGGTGTTTAAAACACCTACTTGTTAGTCAAGAATCTCATTTCTAACATCAGAACGAAGTGAAGGGTTTTCAGATCACTTTTTCCCCTATTTCCCCCTTTTTTTAATCATATTTTCCCACTTCGTTAATATTTTCAGATTTTCTGGATTCATGAATTCATTTTTCATCGAAAAAAAAATCTTTAGCACACAGGCCTCAATTGAAAAGTATTTTTGTAAAACAAAACAAAAGGGGGTAACATTTTTTTCCCCTTTTTCCCCTTTTTTCCATGTTTTTTAAAGCTTTTTTTACGAAAAAGTATGATTCAAAGACAAGCAAGGTGTTTTACCTGTTAGTCAAGAATCTCATTACGAAGTTAAAGGTTTTTAAGATCACTTTTCCCCCTTTTTATCATATTTTCCCACTTTTTTAATATTTTTTACAATTTTTATATTTTTCACATTTTCTGGATTCATGGATTCATGGATTCTTTTGAAAACAGACCTCAATTAGATACTTTTTAAAAAAAGAAAAAAAAATGTTGGGAAACATTATATCCCCCCCCTTTTTTCCATGTTTAAAAAAAATTCACCAAAAAGTGTGATTCAAAGACAAGCTAAGGGTTTTAAACACCTACTTGTAAGTCAAGAATCTTATTACTAAGATCAGAACGAAGGCGGCAGCCTTGGATATCCATATCTGGGACCTTTTAACTTGCATATCATTAGTCATTACTCTTCAAAAATTTGGGTGAATTTTAGTGAAGGTACCTTTTATCTAGACTTATTTTTAGGAAACCTAAAAGGTCAAATTCATTACCTGGACCTCCGGTCTGATAAATCCCACGTGTGGAAGGTACTCACCAGAAAACCAAAGGTTTTAGTTGAGAACTCCACTGGATCCTCAATGGTTTACCTTCATCCTAGGTTAGTTTTCCTGAACTCCACAGGATCATCAATGGTTTACCTTCATCCCAGGTTAGTTTTCCTGTACTCCACAGGATCATCAATGGTTTACCTTCATCCCAGGTTAGTTTTCCTGTACTCCACAGGATCATCAATGATCTACCTACATCCCAGGTTAGTTTTTCTGAACCCCAGGATTATCAATGACCTACTCACATCCCAGGTTAGTTTTCCTGAACTCCACAGGATTATCAATGATCTACCTACTTATCCCAGGTTGAACATATACTTTGACCAACAAACTCCCCCACCCCATATGAAAGTTATCAAAAAGTCATTTTCCCAAATTCCATTATATAACTCTTTCAATCTTTTGGGTTTCATGTAAACTTTTCTGCCATAATGTAGTATAATTCAATTTTGAACACCTCCCTAGTACACATATCAAACTATCTAGGCTGCGCTATCAAAATATTTATATGTTTATATACCTCTGTACTCCGGTTCAGCCTGCCCCCTGGCGGTACCTCGTCTTTGGATGGCCAGGGGCGGGGGAGTGGGGATGTTTGAGTGCTCTCACCCAATGGCGGTCTGGGTTCTCCAACCTGGGGGGGCTTTCAGATCTCTTTCCTGATATTTCTGATTAAGGTTGTTCTTCTTCGGTGGTGAGAGAAGATGGCGGGTGAGTTGGTTTGATCTGGAGAATAATAGTTGGGGAGAGAGTGAAGGTGTTCCTCCCCCTCGTCTTCTCTCGGGAGCTGTTTCTCTTCAAGACCGAATATATCTAATAGGTTCAATATATAATCTTATAAAGATGTATAGATCAGTTGCTGTATGTATTTGACTAAGGGGTAGGGAAACCGCGTTAATGTTTGTGTACAATTAAATTTATATGTGTAAACTGTTTATGTATATGTAGATATTGTATACATTGATGAATTTAAGATAACTCATTGATGAGTTATGTTATTTGGTCTTTTTAGGTAGTTATCATTATATTGGTGACTGATACTTGATTGATTGATTGATTGATTGATTGAATGATTGATTGATTGATTGATTGATTGGTCAATTCAACGACTGAGTCTTTGATTCTTGGATTTGGATTTTTTTTCAGTTGTTTAAATGGTTAATGAAAAAATTGCCTGATTTATTGATCGATTACTCCAGGAGGTGTGAGTGTGGAAGAATGGGAGAGAGGAAGCCGGGAGCTAGTAACCTCTTCCAGTGTTGATACATTCCAGCCCTCATCATGTACCTGGAGCCAATCTAAACCTCTTCCTCAGGGGATCAGTAATCCTGCAGTCGCTGTTCTAAAGGTTATGGATTATTTACGTATTTTTTATCTTGAAGGAAGGAAGGAAGGTTCATTTGTGAAACATTTCTATTCAAACCGAATTTGTGCTAAAGGAAGACGACTTTTAGACTCAAGTTTTTACTTTAAATATTCCAATGACCATGAAACACATTAATTGTGCAGTGTAAAGCAAAGATAATATATATAGATAGATAGGAGAGAGTAGTAAAATTTTGAGGTCTCTTGGGCAAAGTTGAAAGCAGCACCATCTCTGTCGTATGAGGGGAGGAAGGCCAACCACAACAATTTCTCGTCCGAGCCACATTCTCCTCATTTTCTCGTCCGAGCCACCTCGAAATCCTCGTCCTTTTGATATTATTTTTTTAAGTGTCGAATCATTCCAGATAAAGCTATTTTTTAAGAATAAAGCCACGTTTGGGCATAAATGAAATATCAAATTTTTGTAAATCGAAAAAAAAGTTTCAATTGAATGAAAGATTTCAAGTTTAATGTCTTTAAAAATGTTCACCTTTTTTACGCGCGTTTTCAGATATTCCTGTTGTAGAATGCCGCAAATAATTTCAAGTTTAGAGAGCTTCAATCTTTTTTGTTAACTATAGTGAAAACCATAGAATTTTTCCGGGTGGTTCTATGTGGAAAATTATAGGCAGAGGTAAGCCGAATATTTTGCTATTTATTTTATATCACAAAGGTCAGCCATTACGGAGGCAGAAGAGATTTATAGTTTTACCAAAATAAAGTTTGACATCATTCTCATGTGTTAGATTCCAACATGATATAATCATTGCGATACTAAAGTCCATCCATGTTTTATGCCCTAACATGGCCAGATTTTTAAAAATAGTTTTATTTTCAAGAATTGGAAACTTTTTAACATAACATAATCTAAGGACGAGGATTCCGAGGTGGCTCGGACGAGAAAATAAGGAGAATGTGGCTAGGACTAGAAATTGTTGTGGCTGGCCTTCCTCCCCTCGTCGTATGCATGGCATTTTATCCTCTGGATTGTTACTGATTTATCACTTTGTTTATGCTTCATAACACCAAATGTCTACTATTTATCAACAATGTGTACTGCAAATTGTACTTAATGAAACAAGTTAATCAATGCAAATAAAACAAAGGTAGGAATTAGACTAAACAAAGTTAAAATGTGTAAGTTGTACTGAATGGCATACGTTAATTAATGCATCTTAAAAAAATTATAGTATTTTTAGTTATATCTAGCTATGTTTTAAAGTTCTTAAGTAAGAAAAAAGCAGTTCGAAGATTTTTTTTGGTGTTATCACGCATAAACAAAATGATAAATCAGCAACAATCCAGAGGATAAAATGCCATGCATACGACAGAGATGGTGTTGCTTTAATTTTTCTCAATACCTCAAAATTATAATAGCTTATCATACTACATATATATTATTTTTGTTCAAAGCTCTGTTTTTATCTTTGTGTTACCTAGAAATTTAATTGTATTGGTCGTAAACAGACCCAGATTGCAACACTTGAAAGTAATCATTTTGCTATAAATGTCTTTTGTTACATTGTTATCAGGGGTACAAATATGAATTGTCTGTTACAAGCAATATAGGCAGGAGGTTTCAACCTGCCAGCATATCTATATATATATTATCTTTGGGGGTAACAGACTTATTTCACTCAATTAATGATTTAATAAGTGTTAAGTAAAACTATTTGCTTTGTAGCAACATCAAATACAATTAAGTATCGATATAAAGTCGTCTTCCTTTTTCATAGTTTTCTAGTTATCACTGTAGAATAGGAGTTTCCAATTATGTAAATGAAACTTGATTATCAAAGGGACAGTATATGTCATTTCTAATGACTATACATTTACATAGGCGGTTGTCAAATTCATATAGGACTGGAATAACTCTCCGCTGATTTATATAGAATCAAAATATTTTAGGATGAGATTTATTTGTTTGGCGGTCTAAACAAGAGACGGATTATCCAGGACTGTTACCGCCTGACCAGGACTGGTTGGGAGGAGCTGCCTTCCCTTCCAGCACAGTTCTGCTACCCCGCCCTCGTAGTTGACGAGGCTAGAGGCGGAATATGGTTAATAGGTAGATCAAATTGGAAAGTTATAATATATTTTTTTATTGTTATCTTATCTTTAGGATCATAGATAATAGGTTTCTTTGGATAAACCTGTTAATATTGAATTCATGATTCAAAAATTCCACATTATTCATATTGCATTCCTCAATCTCTAGTGTTACGAGATGGGTTGAAAATACTGATTCATTGGAATTTCCCATTTGAAATATACTTTGATATTTTGATATAATGAAGGCCTCTGTATAGTGTACAATGCGCTAGATCTCCAAAATTTCACCTAAAAGTTTTTTTTTCGACATTTCCATCAAAAAGCATAAATCTTATATTGAAGTGATGTTTGACATAAAAAAAAGAGGATTCCCCCCCCCCCCCCCTGGTGATTACTATTTGAGGAACTCTGGACTCCCTCCCTCGTTGTACTGAGATTGCAGAAACTATACGTAGGTATCTATTGTACTAGAATTTATTTGTATCTGAGTATTATGCATGTATGTACATTAAAGGTTAAAGAAAAATTAAGGTCGACCAAAGAAATTGCATATTGGGAGTTAGGAATATACACCCCGGGTGTCCCACGAAACATGACAGTTTTTAAATAATTTTGAATATCGTCTTCCATACACTGCAAGATATTAAAGGCTGTTAAGTTTTCATTTTATTTCGTTTAAAAATTTTCTCCAGTATATCTTACTTTGAAATTAATGTTACTAATATGACTCCTATATAATTTTTTTATTATTGTCTTTGGTATTAAACAACTTAACAAATTATGGATTATGGAGGAAGAAATTCTAAATTATTTACCAACTGTCATGTTTCGTGGGACACCCTGTAACAGAAACAGAGAAATACAGGGACATGGCCCCTATCATTGATCGGACATAACGGGCTCGCATTTGGAAAAAACGATATTAATGAAAGATGCGTTTACAAATTTTGCAGAATGTTTGAAACATTGGCCGCTGAATTCAGATTTAATCTCGAACGAAGAACTTCTGTAAATAACATGTTTTCTTTTGTTTAAGTGTTTAATAACAGAGGTCAAAATATGGTCCTATTTCTAAGAAATAAACGGATTAATTTTAACTTTTTTATTTGTAATTACTAATTGAGGAGCGCGCATGCCGCAAAACAAATTTGGGTGGCGTGTTTTTTTCCACCCCCCCCCCTCTCGCTATAATTTCAATTCTTTTGGTTAGTTTGGAACATTTCGCATATCGAACCTACAGATTTTTAGGCAAAGAGAATAGAATATATATTCATATACATTCATATACATTCATGCAAAGAGAATAGAATATATATTCTATTCTCTTTGGTTTTAGGCCAGAAAAACGTATAGGTTCGTTTCCTCTTGGTTCGATGAGCGCGGGTACCGATTTTGTAAAGATTGTAAAGCAAAGCATAAACAGACAAATAAAGTTTCAGGGTCCGTGTTCGAATGTCGTCTGTGTTGAACAGCTGATTTATATAAACAAAACAAGATCGTATTCGTATGGAGTTACGCAACATGCGGGCCGAATTCACTTGAAATTTAAATCATTAGTTCATGAAGTTCATAGTTGCTCAAAATGAGTGAGAATATCGAAGATTTGACCGACAAATTAGAATCATTAGGCTTGAAAAGTGAATCTAAGTTAATCAAGATTATTTTAAATGAAAAAATCTTAACTTGTGAATCAACGATTTTGAAAGAAAAATCAAAGTACTATGAAGCTTTTCTTAACTTCGACCCGACACAAGAAGAAATCGAGATTAAAGGAGGAATAGAAGAAGATGCCTGTCAAATCATTATTGAATATTTCAACGGAGCTGATTTAAATCTCAATTTGGAGAATTTTCAAGACGTCCTTCAAGGTTTACAGCCAGAATTTAAAAACTAAAATATCTAAAATTTTCCAAATTCACTGAGCTTTGGGTCCGTCATAGTATGCAATATTTGGACCCCCTCCTCCTTTGTATCAATTTTGCATATGAACATTTTAACATAATTAACGGGTCTTTCTTAGAGAACGATTTTTTCTAATATTTATTTTGACCTCAGAAATGAATTTTAGCGCATTTTTTCACAAAAAACGCGCGCGCGCGCGCACTTTTGCTCAGATTCCTTCAAAACCAAAAAATGCACGTAATATACATAATTCTGAGTTTGCATGCAAAAAATCAGCCTCCTACGACAATTCTAAGTTATGTTTAAACACTGTTTAAATTTTCCGGAGAGTAATACGTTTTGTGGCCCCCCCCCTTTAGGTTTTAGCTTTCATGCACTGAACATTTCTGCATACATTTTTTTTTGGAAATTGAAAGTTTAGGGTTGGCCGCTTTTAAAACATGTTTTAAACAAATCTAATGAGCAGCCGTTTTTGAGAAAAAGGGTGATGGCGTTGAAGTATCGGCCGAAAACGTCGATTTCTGCTGATGTTATTTCAGTGCATCAGTGCCGAAAACGTCGTTATCTTCTGAGTTCCGTAGCTCCAAATGTAATAAAAAAATGGAAAACAATTGTCCCATTATTGGGTCAAATCATCAAATGTAGATGATGTTCAAAGATTGAGCCATTTTGCACATAAAAACTTGTTCTTAAAACAGGAAATTTTGGCAGAGAGACTTAAGTAGGAATAGGGTTAAGATAGATGCAAAGAAAACATTTTTTCGTAACTTCATAAGATATTCTAGAGAATAGAACCTCGGGTACTGCATGTATAGATTAAACCGTATTATCGGTAGTAACGGTGGTGAGTTCAAATACTTGTGTACACAGCATTCATTACCAATGTATATACTGTTTTATCTATAGAGCATAAAATGTTTGATCACATAAAGAGGACAGAACAATTTTTATTGATTTTGATATTGCATTTTGTAATTTTTTCTTTTATAAGTTTTCTTTACAGTTAAGTTGTCGTGATGTATCTAAAGTAAGACTTTTAAATCAGGAACATTTGTTTTATCTTACAATCTTACAAAACTGTTTTCGTGCTAAAACTTTACACAAAATTTTTCTCTTTCTTAGAATTTAAAGTTTTATGTTAAACTTTCAAAACTGTAAGTCTCGTTAAATAATTTAAATTCTTATTTCTTTGAAATAACAAACTTTTCTTTCTCCTTCAAGTTTACTTGAGAAAAATATTCATTTCTATACCGAGAAAACCTGGATTTTTAGAGAACTTTCTTGCATTCATAAACTTTTTTCGTCACACTCTATGTTTATGTGTATGTTTGACGTGTATGTTTATGTTTAATGACGTGTATGTTTTTGTTTAGTAACGTGTATGTATATGTTCAGTGTCGTGTATGTATATGTTCAGTGACGTGTATGTATATGTTTAGTGACGTATATGTATATGTTTAGTGACGTGTATGTGTATGTATATGTAACCTCATTTCTTCGCCTAAAGGGTTGTTTGATACCAACCATCCAATGGAGTTAATTGATGAGCCACTGGCTGGAAAGTATCTCCTTTGTATCTTCTGACAATGGGCTAATTGTTGTAGGTATAAAGGTCCAGTTAGAGCAGGAGTGGGACGGTGCTTCCCATTCCTGCCGGCGGTCTGGGGGGTTCATAACGGGACCTCTTTTTCAGATTTCTTTTCTTATAGTTCCTGAGACGTGTATGTATATGTTTAATGACGTGCATGTATATGTTAAGTGACGTATATGTATATGTTTAGTGACGTGTATGTATATGTTTAATGACGTGTATGTATATGTTCAGTGACGTATATGTATATGTTTAGTGACGTGTATGTATATGTTTAGTGACGTGTATGTATATTTTTAGTGTCGTGTATGTATATGTTTAGTAACGTGTATGTATATGTTTAGTGACGTGTATGTATATGTTTAGTGATGTGTATGTTTATGTTCAGTGACGTGTATGTACATGTTTAGTAACGTGTATGTATATGTTTAGTGTCGTGTATGTATATGTTCAGGGACGTGTATGTATATGTTTAGTGACGTATATTTATATGTTTTGTGACGTGTATGTATATGTTTAATGACGTGTATGTATATGTTCAGTGACGTATATGTATATGTTTAGTGACGTGTATGTACATTGTTCGTGTTTAATAACGTATATGTACATGTTTATTGATGTGTATGTATATGTTTGGTAATGTGTATGTATATGTTTAGTGATGTTTATGTATATGTTTAGTGATATGTATGAATATGTTCAGTGATGTGTATGTATATGTTTAGTGATGTGTATGTATATGTTTAGTGATGTGTATGTATATGGTGGATCTACCGACGGTCTCAAGAATGTTGACACTACCGAGGTTTTGAGAATGGGTGCAGGTAGAACCAAAGATTTTACATTTATACAATCAACATTTTTATTAATTATTATAGAAAGTGATTAAAGTCAGTAAGTTCAGTAATGCCATATTAGAAACATGAATAGAGATTACCGAATCTTTTCGCATTATAAATTTCTGCAAATGTTTTTGGCATTCCGGAATTCTAAATGTACATTTCTGAATGTCGGATTATGTATTCAGTTTTCTGAATTTACAAATGTATGTTCAGTATTCGGAATTTCCGATGATCAGACAAAAATGCGAGTTTCTAAATGTGTGTTTAATTATGTTATTTATTTTTTTTTAGATTCCTGGGAGATATCCAAGAAGAACACAAGGAACTGGCATTCTACAGTTACGAGCGTCAAGGCTAAACTCCCTGGTCGTCTGCTATCTTCTCATTCTTAGCAGACGATAACCTCTCAGTAGCAGAAGAAAATTTTAAGAGCAAACCAAAAAGCAGAAAATAAATGCAGCACTCAGTAGTATATGATAATCATACATTTGATAGCAGACAATTTACATTTAATAACAGAAGATGCACTTAGCGTTCTGTACCAGACGATAATTATACATTTGAAAGCAGACAATTTATTTTCGATACCTAAAAAAGCACACAGCACTTAAAGCAGACGATAATTATACATTTTACACCAGACAATTTACCTTTTTATAACAGATAATTCACTCCCAATAGCAGACAATGCAATTCTCAATAGCAGCCGATAATCCCAGAAGCAAACCATACATTATATATTTAATAATAGACGGTAGACTTTCATTAGCATATCAATGAATCAAATTGTATTTTCAAAAAAATTCGAATAGCCAACCGAATTCATTTTACAGCAGACACAGTGGCAGAAATTATCCCGTCGCTCGTCATTATATTCATTAGTATTTTCCTGCAAAAGCAGAGAAATCAATATTTATAAGAAACTATAATAATAAATATTTATTTACTAAAACAAATTTACAATAAAGTATATGCATATAATCTGATTATTTTTATAAGTGTTCTTTTTGCAGGGTTTCAGATGATTTGAATTTATAGTTGGGTTTAGCAGGTTTCCCTTAAGTAGCGGCGATGGCTAAATATTATTTGCTTCAAAATTTGAATATTTACTTCAATTAAATTTTTTAAAAATATTTTGGAATTCTAAAATTTTGACTTATTTAAAAAGGTTGTAAAATTTTGAATAAACTTGCTGACCTCAAACTATAGTGGGCTATAATGTTTTGAATTTAAATTGTGTCCTACCCCTAACGGAACGCGTGAAAGTTTGAAAAAAATACTAAGACATGTCCGATATACCGTTGGAACCGTCTTGACAGTGTGAATCCTATGTCGTTAGTACGTGTGCCAAATCAGAAAATTCAAATTTGCAAGTTGTCCAGATTTTGTCCTAAAATATCTGATATATATATGTATAAGTACATTTGACTTAAAAAATAATCTTAAAACATTTGCGATTTTTCCTCAATGATGAGGATATTTCTTTACACTACACACATGATATTAAAAAATATTTTAAGAAGGAATGTATTGAAACAACTTGTATCGGGTCTGGGAAAAGTTGATTTCTACCCTGTATAATGTAACCCATAGAGAAAATAAGTTTTGGGTTTGTATAGATGATCATAAAAAAATATTTTTGGTATGGGCGGATATAGCCAAATAAGTTTTACAAAATAAATATTTTTAAACTAATTTCCTCATAGATTTTTAAACTGATTTTCTCCGATTCGTTTCTATGTAGAGTACTCATCTCCCATGGGGGGGGCTTAGCTCCATAGCACCCCCCTGACTACGCCACCATGGCAGACAGGCGCGCAACTAGGGGGGGCCAGGCCCCCCTAGCCTGATTAAGGGGGCCATGCCCCTCCCTTAAGAAGTCTTGCCCCCCCTGTGGGGGGGGGGCAAGAAGTGACGAAGTCCACCCTATTTTGCAATTTAGCGATTCATGAATCCTGACCCTGAGGAAATTTAAGAGCTCTTATCGTAAAATAAAAAAAAGATAATTGAACGTTAGTTTATTGAGCTTATAGTTCAATCGAAATAGCACTTAATACACCATATACACACAAACAGACCCCCTTCGTCTCCGAGCCTAACTACTGCCATAGATCAGAGCAGGTTGACAAGGTTCCAAGGTGCCTTAATCTTTGTTGTTTTCATTATTCTGTTTTTTTCCTGGGAAAGTCCCCCCCCCTAACCAAATGTCTAGTTGCGCGCCTGATGGCAGTACCTTATGTAATACATTTTACGTTACAATACATAGTAGTTACTACATCACAATTTCACAAACATAGTTTTTCCCTATTTTTACATTTATAAAAAGGTATGGATGGATGACAACATAAAGGATATGATTTTACAAAAATGTGGAAAAAATATTTTTAAAATATTTGAAGAATTATCACTCTTTGAACTCGAAATAATACGCATATCAGGTTGTGGATATTAAATAGTTTAAAATATGGAGGGAACAGAAACTAGAAAAAGATATTAATTTAGATTAACAGGGGAAATTAGTTCCAAATCTGCAAAATTATCTTTTTCAAGAGTATATATATATCTTTAAATCCAAGACGAGTAGAACAAAATTACACCATATATTTATTAAAAAAATGGGCTAAAACTATATATTGATACAATAAATGACAATCTTAAACTAAACATTTTCGGAACATATCCTGGTTTGGAGACAATTACCGGAATTCATATAAATGTTACGCACTTCGTAACAAAACAAGATTTTTGATAAGGTAAAATAGAAATATTAAAACAAACTGTGCTTTTATAATTTAAAAATCATTAGCATTTCGAAATAAAAATATTAATATCATTTGTTCTTACAATATAGATTTAAATAGAAAAGCGGGAAACTTTGTTTAAAATGCCTGAAAATAAATCATCGATATTCTCTAATTTAACAGATAAAATCTTGAAACTTAGATTTCAGAAATAATTCAGAAATTAATTTAGTCTTCATAAGATAATTTTTTTTTTCAGTGATTTATTTTGTAAGCTATGAAAGTGAGTTTTGTTTTGAATTGCGGATTATACCCAAAAACAGGAAAGTGTGTTTTGTCTCAAAAACGCGACGATGTTTCAAGTTCGGGATATGTTCGAAAATGGAAAACCTGACATTGTCTTGAAAACGGTCAAGAGATTTAATATAAAGAAAAATATTTTAATTTTGATTTCAAAAAGTTTAAAATTGGGAATTGTTGTCCTTTTCATGTTTATTAAAATCTTGGTTATAGTTTTTATTATCGACTTTTAATCTGGACAATGTTTATGGGCCGGAATTCCAAAAACCCAGTCTTTTAATTTGTGCCCATTTCTTACAATGGGCCAAGTGCTAGTTTTGGAACTAATGTCCCCTGATTTATCAGCAATTTAGTTACATAATTTTGTACAGTTTTTATTTATCTTTAATAAAATTATTTAAAAACTAAATTAGTAAAAAAATGTATGGTAAATCCTGTAATACACATTTAGAGGGTATTTTTAATTCACGTATTAAGTAGTGGAGTGGTGGGGAGGGTCCATATTATCCCTTTCTAGTAGTTGTCCTGAAGGGATTGAAAACTCTGATGGGTTGAGTTTAGTCTAGTGCTCCGGGTTGGATATTCATCAGGAGGAAGTTCAAGAGAAGATCCTCGTCTATTAGTGTGTACATCAAACCTGGATATTTATCTTTTTAGTTCATCTTTGCTCTTTCAGTTCAATCCTAAACCCGGCTTCATGGTCCTTAAGGTTAGTTTTCCTAAATTCGCTCTCACTGGAAGCATTTTCTCAACAATCTCATAAAAATATTTTTTTCTGTCGTTTTGTTGACTTTAAGAGGTATTTGTTATTTTAGGCTAATTTGACGTAATAAATGTAAAAAAAAATATTATTTTTCACTTTTCAGCCATATTTTTTTCAATGAAAAAACTTTACCTTGTTTTCTTTTTCTCTGATCTGTGTCGCACTTTTTCAGAGTTTACTACTCCTGACGCCCTGCGCATTCCACTTCCGGTTCTCTGTTTCAGCATAGACCCGGCAGAAGCTCGTCTTACCCCGATACCAGGCCGAGCCTCGTGGATAGTCTCGTTGTTAACTGTATTGCTTCTCTTGAACTTATTGTATGGAAACTGTTTATTGTAGTTGATATTTGAGAAGGATTGTGTGTGCTTCAATGTTTTGTTAGTATGCTGAGTATGCTGAGAAGGTTGAGTATGCTGGGAAGGTTGAGTATGCTGAGTATGCTGAGAAGGTTGAGTATGCTGGGAAGGTTGAGTATGCTGAGTATGCTGAGAAAGTTGGGGTTGACGGTGTTCTAAGTGCATTGATGGTTGACTGACATTCCTCTAAAATATATAATCCAGGTATTTTTTATAAACGCTCCTTCCAAGCTTGATTAACAATAAAACACACATATTTAATTTTTTTTTAAAGAATACAGTAATTGTGTCTTTTTTATGAATTATAGAGAGCATGGGTTGAATAATGTTTCCACGCCTTTTGAACAACATTACCAACAGCAGAATGTTAAGTTACTTAACTGTCACTTGGGACAATAAATACTAGGCTTTGCTTCACGACCATCTTTTTTTTAATTCTGAAGATGTTCTCTTTATGTTCATTGTAAAATAAAAACAAAACAAAATTTCTCAGATTTTATCAAAGAAAAATTTAGTGGATTTTCAAAATTTTCGAAAATAGAATTTTGATGGAGGCAAATCTTTAAAAATTAGATCATTCATAAACCTTTCTGGGGTCACGCGAGGTCCCAAAAAAATTTGGGCCCACTCGGTTTAACCGTTTTGGCGTTTAGTGTATACAAACGGATTGACAGACAAACAAACAGATGGACAAGCAAAGTATATATTATTATATAAATTATGTATTATGTTTATACTCCATTTAAACCTGTCACCTGGAAAAATTAAAAAGAAAAAATTTAATGAGGTAAAATTAATAATTTGATTACCTTAATCATTCCCCTTTTAATAAACTCTGATCTAGCTTCTAATCTTGCATTCATCTCAGATATATCAATTCTTTGACTCCTGGAGTTATTACTGATTAATGTTAATAATATGTTTTCTTGTAAAATGCACAGAATAGAATGAAAAACTTCATTATTTTTATTGAATAGGCTTTCATTGAATCCTGCTTGCATTTCCGATGCATATAACTACGCATTGCACATTGGACATTTGACAACCAACATTACCTGAAACTGCTATGGGAGATAGGTGCATGTGAATGCCTTCTTTTAATAATTTTTCCGACACATTCTTCATCGCTTGGACAGTGTAAAGACTGGTAAAAAAATTATTTTAGATTACATTTTTTTTAATGCTTATTGAATTATTTTACCTGTAAATCTGATCCATCCATGCTAGTACTGCGTCCCATTTGGAGGAGCTTTACCTACAGAAACCAGAATTAGCCAGAATTCTCTCATTTTTTTCGGAATTTCTAACCTGTCTTTTTGCAGTCTCCAGATGCCTTGTAAGACCGTGTTTTTCCTTCCTCATCTCAGAAATTTTCTTGTTTGCATTGCAGTTGGCTCGGAGGAGCGACAGCTTTTCCATTCTCAATCGTTCAAGTTGGGTTTGGAGTTCCATCATATACTCCATTGAACCTGCCTCAGATGAGGAAGACGAATGAAAATCCTGAAATTCCCGGGAATGCGTGAGTTTTTCTTTCCGGAAGTTTTGAAGTGTACACGCGCTTCTACTTCGACTTGACTCTGATATGCAGTGGAATGTTCTTGAATCGTCTCGGCCAAGTGTAAAATCTTCTTGTTGTTGGTTTGATTCCATTATTTGAGATCGTCTCTGGGCTACTTTTTGTATTTTATAATATTTTTTTCTTGCTTGGATAATGGATATATTATTTTTTAACTTAGTGAATTTTCTTGAGATATTGGAAAATCTGAACTTATGTATTAATTAAAAGTAAGTTAACGGCTGAAACCAATTTCATAAAATATTTACTGTGCAAATGTGTTGTTAGTGGTTTTAATAAACCTTCACTAAAATTAATAAAATAAAGATATTGAGGAATCGAGACACAAATATAAGCTCTAATTAAATATTATAAAAATTGCCTAACGCCATATTCTTGGACTGACATGGAATCAATGATTTAGAGCGTTTGGATAACATCGTCTTCATATTCTTGAAAAGATTTTTATCCCGTCCATCCATGAAGGACTCATCCATTGAGTTCATACGTGACTTACAGTATAGATATTTGTTAGTCTCAAGGGTTAAATCCTCGTAGAGCTTGCCGAGGAGACAGGTTCTAGAACAGACAAGATTAGATCTATTATAATCAAAACGGATAGAAATAGATTAAATGTTCATTAAATAAGAGATTCAATAACAGCTGGCCATATTTTCATTTGTTCGTAATATTATGAAATAGTTTTTTCTTTTATTCATCATTCAAAAAAAATTAAATTTGTTTTGAATGTTTTGTTAATATAAAATTATTAAACTAAATCAAGTAGGAGACAAGAATAACTAAATATTTCTAAATATTTCTAATACATATATAAATGTTGAAAATATTGATAAGTGCACATTGCACAAAGTGTCTCATTAATTTAAGAAATTAATGCAGTGAAACCCTTAATAACGAATACATCGAAAGAATTCATCAAATGTCGTATTCTTCACTTTCTGATAATGGAATGTTGCAGATATTTAGTTTTTTAATTAGATGATTATATGGAACTCTTTAAAACTGTTCCCGCATATTTATGGACAATTTGGCAATTTGGAAAAGGAAAAAAAATAACTTTAAAGTTAGACCAGAGTCAATTTCCAAACCCTAGATCTAGGTACAAGCAAAGATGGCAATGCCCGATTCACTTAGGTACCTTTAAAAACTTTGTCTGATCAATTATGAACTAGATATCAATTCTTATAATTTTGAAAGAGGATTATTTTCAAATGTTGTTTCTCCATTAAAGTGACTTACACATTTCTACTCGTGGGAAACATATTGATCATTATACAGGAAAATGTCAATAGCTTCCAAAGTATTTATTAGATGAAGGTTTCAAGTTGAATCAGTCATGGTCACCTGTTCACGGAGGGTCTTTCATGTCCCTTGAATTATTTGTTTTTGTGAAAATAAAGCTCTAAATATGATAACATTTTCTAAGGGATAAAGTCTAATTACCTTGTTTTTTGGTCGAGAGAAGAGAAAATTTTGGATTTATAGCAGGCATTCTCCGCATTTATCAACTTAGCCAGGAGAAAATCCTTGAGTTTTGAATCCTTCCTGAAGATCCTGCGTGGAGGTAGGATCGGACCAAACTCAGGAACATCATTCTTACACACCACGCTCATCTCATACTCATCCTGAATTTTTAGGTGATCACTGTAAGTACCATCAACGATCCACAATATGATTCTATTTAACGTTTACGACAAACAATACTTCTATACATATATTTCTACACAAAGTTTCTTAACCCTATCAAAATGGGGGGGGGGGTATTTTTTTGAGCTATGAAGACTTTTCTGCGATCTGCACAGGCCTTGCACGACCACTTCCCATAGGTTAAAAAAATATATATTTCCTGTCAAAACTGACACCATAGAGAACAATATTAGCCTGAGAGATATTTGTGTGACAATATTTGTATATCCTGTTGCAAAATGGGACACCCTACTTTTTACTGATTTTTTGTGTTGTTATTGAATTATTTCCTATTTTCAAGAAAAAAGAAAAAGTTGAAAAAGTTTCTATTCCTAGAATACCTGAGCTATGGACTTGACTACGATGTATGCATGAAGAAAGTTTGAAGTTATCATTTCCGGAGAAAACTGAACATCTCCTTCCTAAATTAGAATTTTTTTTTTTTTTAAACTGCCTTCTTGAAATTTGCACGGCAATCATGATTAGAAAAATATAATGATTTTTAAAGAGATGAATAAAGACCAGACTTATAATTCATAAATATATTTCGTCAAATCACGCTTAAATAATAAAAAATCATTATTTTAAATTATTGATTAGTTGTATTTAAATCTTCAAGGTAAGACAATCAAGGATTCAATTCAGTCCGTAGGACTGCACAAAATAAGGGAAACAACTTAATCTGCGGATTTTCAAAAGTTTTGATAAACCATATTATTTTTTTCTTTTCTACCTGATACACGAGAGCCACAATATCATTTCCAATATGGCGTTTTCTCTGTAACTGTTGTGGGTCCTTAATTTTTTAATTGATTTTGTTTTGTGAAAACTGAAAGACAATACTCAGTGAGAGTGAATTATTGGAAATGTTTTAATTAATTCCAAGCTTCAAGTTCTCGGACATTTTCATTTATTACAAAAAAAGTTTTATATTATTATTTTATTTTTTCAATTTATTCCTCTACATTCTACAATACCTTTAAGTCTTATTCTTCAAATACAGAACTGTATTCCTCCAACCAGCCAAGGTTGTACCTGTGAAGAGAAGGGGAGAAGGGTGGAAACATGAAACATTATTTCACACTGCTGGAAGGTAGCGCTGGATTATCAATATTTATCTTTTTAAACTGCATAGTGAATTGTGATTGCTTATTTGTAATATCTCATGCTTTGTAGTTCAATTAAAAATATGAAATGAAATGAATTTTTTTTTTCTTCTACTCGTATAGTATATTTCCTTAAAGAAATAGATTTTTTTGAATTCTCTTTTTGAGAAATATATATTTAGTCTGGTATAGGTAAAAAAAGGCATTTAGGCAGTATGCCTGAGGACTCAGGCAGTAGGTATAAAATCCCAGCTTTTAGCCTTAAATGATGTGCATGGGTAAGATAGAGAAATCAGAATTCATAGTTTAAAACATTTAAGGTCTACGACATTGGGTTGCCAAGATATTGGGATAAGAAAGTCAGAGCTTGTGGTAAAGACTCAATTACTTTCACAAATAATTAGCATTTACGAAAGATTCTATTAATGTGAAGTGTAAACATTTCGAGGTCGAACGTTCCGCAAAAAAAATAGTAAACTTAATTTATTTTATATTTGTAGAAATTATAAATTACAACAGTTTGGATAAATATCCCTAATTGACTCAGTTCCAGTCTGGTTGTGAACTGTGTCCAAACCACCTGAACAATTAATTAATAATAAAAGATCTTATTCGCTCTTCATCAATATATATATATTATTACTCGTTAAGGAGGGAACCCCCAGCCGCCATGAGCCTCCCAGATTTGCTAAGCAGCACCGAGCCTCTGCTTTGCAGTACAAATTTGATACTAAAACTTCATAAGTTTTTATCCCGAAGTGGAAGATTTGATTTGTTAAAATCTTCAATTTAAGAAATAACTTTCTTCATTTAATTTAGATAATTCTTGATTTATCTAAACATAAACAATTTTAAAAAAAAGGTTTTTTATATTATAAAATTTTTATTTTATAAACTGTGTTCTTAATAGCTTCCTTTTTGCGTAATAAACTTTTGAAGTTTCAGTTTAAAAGTTGTCCTGCATAACGGAGGCTCGGTGTTGCAAAGCAAATCTGAGAGGCTCGGCGGCCAGGTGTTCCCTCCAACTACTTGCACCACATCAATTATATATTATTTGCTCTGCACTACATCAATTATATATTATTTGCTCTGCACTACATCAATTATATATTATTTGCTCTGAAGAAATCAAAAATCAAAAAACGCTCTTTTAGACACTGTAGCGCTCGAACCATATGGTTCAATTTTTAAAATTATGAACATTTTTTAAATCTAGTGGAACATTGGAGAAAATGCAAATCTTCTAAACAAATCTAAAAGAATGCACAAAATTATTCTGAAAGAATAATTATCATAATATCAATATCCTTAATAACCTTTGTGTAATTGTAAACCCTTATTCTAAATCTATTAAAATATTGTTTGGAAGATTTGTATTTTTTTCAGACCTTATAGTTCCATAATACTGTATAATTCAAATTCATAAACTCAACCAAGCCCAAATATAAAATTTAAAGCTTAAAAATTTAAGTTTGAGAAGGCAATAAATTGTGAATTATTAAGACCATGCAAAAGTCTCGATTGATGAAGTTTAAAATTTCCAATAACAGAATAAATTGAAATCATAAAACTTACGGAAAAAATTGTTGAAATGTAGATTTTCATTGAAAATATTCTAAAATATCAAAACCTTACTGTTATGTGTGATGTATCACTTTCAAGGAAGTAAAAAATTTGAGAAAGAAAAAAGGATCAATTAAGTTTGGATCGACAGACGTAAATACTTATTGTTCTAGCTTTAAACTTTCCTTTAGAAGAAAATGTATTGTAAAGGGGGGGGGGGGGTTCACCTGCGTATCCTTCATACCCTTTCAGTTGAACCCTTGTTCCAAGTATATTAAGAAACTCCTAAATAAAATCACGTAAACAATCTAAACATTTTTATTATTTTTTATTCATTTTTATATTAGTTTTCAAAAATGTGCCTCTTTCGAAGTTAAAGCATATTTAATTATATTAACAGTTGCGTAAAATTTTAAATTGGGCCACCATTGCAGAATTTTGATCTCAGGAAAAACCAATTCTAAATCTAAAAAGAGCCGTTCAACCCACTTCTTGTTGAAAACAAAAATAATAATAAGCCACATTTTTGACTTGACAAATATATATTTAATTTTGTATCGGCCGTTTTAGAATCAATATTCTAGTCGGCATCAAGTCACGCACCAATAAAAGAACAAAGTAGTTGAACTAAAGCGATGTAAATTTACTGCTACCACAGTTCATCCAGAGTCACAGGTTTGGGTTCCCTGTACTCAGTGATGAGCTTCTCCTTTGGCTGGATACTTTTCTGGCTAGATACCTCCTTTGGCTCGATATCTCAGTTGGCCAGATATCTCTTTTGGCTAGATACCTCCTTTGGCTAGACACCTTCTTTAACATGGCTTTTTCTTTTGCGGCAACATATCTCCTCCGGCGGCCAGCAACATATCTCCTCCGGAAACATATCTCCTCCAGCAACATACTGTTTTTCCCACAGCTTCGACCCAACTAAGCAGTTTCCATTCCTTTGGACTGACTGCTTCTTAGATTGTCCCTCCTACCATTGTTGTGAGTTGGCGAATTTCTTCATCCTCTCTTTGCGAGAGTTGATGCGCAACTAACTTTTCCTTACTCCATTCCCTGTGTGCTAGGGTCTGTGCTTATCTACCCAGTAGTTTTCCATGCAGAAACCCTCACAATCCATGCGGAAACCCCAGTCTGGTTTTCTATGTTAGGCTCATTTCATGGTAACATCCCCAGCTTCAATTGTAACATTAATTACAAAAAATTACGGAAATTAAATTTTTTGGGACTGTAGACCATTGAACAATAAACAGACTATACAGGTGGCATAAATATATTCCTATTAAATTTTGCAAACAAATTTGTACACATTCTTTTCAGTTTTTTATTTCGTACTTAAGTTTACAGTACATGTTATACAAAGTTGAACAATTTTCAAGACTCGAGCGACTTTAAAGTGTCGCAACGTTTCGACCCTGGATTTTATCTTACTAACTTTCTTATAACTTTTGTAGCTCTAGACAATGGACATGTTCCTTTTTAGAAACTTAAAGCGCTTGTTTTTAATCAGTTTTTGTGTAATGTTTTTTACGGATCACTATGTAGGGTGTCCTAGAAAAAGCTGTTACCTGGAAAGCTGGTGTGTGCGTTGTATTTGAGAGAATACTTTCTTCTGTATTTTGCTTGGCACCCTGATAGAATAGTTTTTCATCTTTTTACTGATTGGAAGAAGGGACAGATTTCAAATGTGTATTAGGAACTTTTTGACTTCCATTTATCTTGGAAAATTGAAAAGATTGTATTTAATCATAATTTTGAACTTAATTAATATATTTTGCACTCCCTCGAGGGAGTGCAAAGTAAACAAACGCCATGGCATGGCATGGCATTGAGGACTATTTGCACCCCCCCCCCCTGCTCCATCAAAAGAGGTGCATTTCTGATATAAAAAGGTACGATACCCTTTAAACTTTCTAAACTTTTTCTATCTTAAAACGGCTTATTTTCGAGTGCGGTTCTATTTCGGGAGCAGAAGAAAAGAAAACTTTCCAGAAAGATGAATAGGGGTGTATATTAGTTGTGAAAATCATATTTTTTCCCAAATCCAAACTTAAAAAACAGGTATATTTTACAGGTTTCTGAAGCCCACGCAAACTTCGAAGAAATTAGTTGCGGCAGTGGAGTGCAAAGAAAATTTTTGGATTTTAATTTTTAATGGAGCGTTTTAGTAGTTTAATGGAGCGTTTTAGTAGTTTAATGGAGCGTTTTAGTGCCCTAAAAGGTCAACTTCAAGGTCCCCCTTAGTTGTTTTAAGCATAGCTGATTCTGTTTTTTTTTTGTTTTTTTGTGGGTTTTTTTCCCTTCCCTGTTCCCCCTTTTCCCTTCCCCTTTTCTCATCTCTTTTCTCCCTTTTCCCTTCCCTTTTAGCCTTTCCTCTTCCCCTTTTCCTTTCCCTCTTCCCCCTTTTTTCTTCCCTTTCCCCTTTCTTGTTTTCTTTTCCCCTTCCCTTCCCCTTTTTTCCTTTTATCTTCAATTTTTTCTCGAAACCCAATGAAAGCTCATATTTTTGTCCCCCCCCCCCCCGGCAAACAGAAAATATACACCCCTGAAGATGAATTTCTTAATCTTTTCCATCTAAATTGGACATCCTGCTCTCAAGACATGAAGGTTTCTTGAAATCATGTTTACAGTCCCTTTAGTTAAAAAAACTAACGAAGAATATTATAAACCTGGTATAGAACTCCAAACTTGTATTTATTCTCAGACAGACACGATCTCTCGTCATAATCAGCTAAATAAATACTTTTTTAGACTCAATGTATAACCTTGACTTTTCAAATTGATAAATATTAATATTAGCATCGTTTATCCATTTCAAGACAATGTTATAGGCGGTAAAGAAGCTTTATAATATAAGAATAACTTACCAGACTTTACAATTGCATGTAAAAAAAGTTTTTTCTACTTTTTGCAAAATCTGGACAGTCTGACAAAAATATATGCATATGCATATGCTCTTTATGATACTTTGTTAGACACAAGTATTTTATAAAACAGCTAACCTATGAGAACACTAGCTCTTCTGCTGATAACGGGCATAAAGGAGTCTATATTGAGAGCTGGACACATTTTCCTAAAATTCAAAAATATTTTGTTAAATAATATTATGTTAAATAATATTATGGATTAAGAATCTAAAAGTTGCGGCTCCTGAATGAATTAACAATCTTAAAAAGTTACGATCTCATGGATCTACCTGGCACACGTGACTAGATAATCCGGTTCCTCTACTTCCTCCTCTCTAACGTACTGCTGGAAGGTACCGGAGGAAAGTCTCATTATCAAGTGAGTCATCTAAACTCATTTTTATTAACAACATCAAGAACCAAAACATATTAAAATTCAATACTTGTAGCTAATCTTGGTAAACAGTACTGTTAGGCTATGTCGTATTTGTTACTTAAGAAATATCGCTATGTGTTTTATATCTTGCAATTGTTAACTAACTGATATATTTCTAAAAACGATTGTTAGGAAATTGTTGCAAATTACATGATCTTAGCAAAAGAATTTCACTGTTTTTTTTGTTTCGCATTGGACTTCTAAATGGCTTGTTTAAAACTTCTTTGGAGTATAAATATAACATACAGAAAAAGAGAACAGATTAAATCACGAAACTTCTTCTCTGTAAAGCATTTTTTCTTTTCTATTCTTTTTAGAAAATGCTGCATGAGGAATTTACATTACTTTGAAATTGTATACATCGCCATATTATAGTACACCTCGTTACACAATAATCAGTGGAGCCTATAGTAAGATATATTTGTATCCAATAAAACTTCTCATTTTCATCATAAATTATTCCAAGAAAGTTTCAGAAGATCGAATGTGCAGAAAAACTGTGGGTTAAAATATGCGACTTAAAATCCACAGTCTGAAATTCATTTCAACCTTGAAATACATTTTGTAGATAAAAATGAATGATATAGCAAAACCTAGAAAAATCACTGTAAAGGAACAGTGATCTAGAATCTAGATCTATATTGATCAAAAAAGGCTTCATTCATACCTTTAAAGGGACTGTAAAGGAAATATGAAAAGAGGTATATAAAACTGTGTCAAAATTATACCAAAATTCGTATATGTGAAATGTGAGATGTGAGCTCCTACGTTTTAAACAGAAAATTTTCAGCAAATACGCAACTAATCTGAAAACGACATCCCAGAGGAGCCTGAAAAACTCAGGTTTGCTCCTTTTATAATTTGAATTTCATCATTTTTCCAATAATTGATATAATATATAATATAATTGATATAATAGATATAATATATAATATAATTGATACTTATGAAAGGAGTAAACCTGAGTTTTTCAGGCTCCTTTAGGATATAGTCGTTTTCAGATTGGTTGCGTATTTGCTGAATATGAACTTAGAATCTTATACCAAATCTCACATTTATGAGTTTTTGTAACATTTTTATATCAATTTCTCGAGACAGGAACATCAATTAGGTCTCGATCAACTCCTAAATATCTCAGGTTTCAGCCAATCCTTTTAATTTTTCCTTTCCAGTCCCTTCAAGTAATTTTTTTTACAAAAAAACTTAACACTTTTTCAATTTTTCTAAAACTAATATATTTGCAACCTGGTATTTCAAATATTTCATATTTCAAACTTTGGCCAATATATTCATAGTTTGTATAACCTCATCAAGTTGTAAAGATATAATGATTGAAAATTATGTAACTTTGCTAATCGGACATTCTTCAGATTGAAGGCTACTTAAGCTCATGTCTACAGCCTCTGTAAGTCTTACTTACTTAAAGGGAGTGTTCGCGAAAAATGAAAGGGGGTATAGGCTTAATGCGATAAAAAAGCGCTTTTGATCGCTACTAATTTTACTTCTATCTGTTGCGTCTATAAGAAGAAAATTGTTAAAAACGACTCACACCGAAGAACGTAGTGTTTATTCAAATTTGGAAAGATGCAACATTCAACTCGGATCGTAAAAAATTTATTTAATTCCCAACAAATCATTCAGATATTACAAACAATAGTCATCGATTATTTTTCGACGCATTCGTAAATAGTTGATATTTCATAATATTTTGTATTTTTCATGATCTGAGAGTTACATTTTTTCCTGTTTCGAGGATTTTTGATAATGAAGACGACATTTTCATATTTTCCAGGAATGTTCGAAAATCCAGCGCCAGCGAAAATTAATCTAAAAAAACAAAATCAAAAATATTATGAAATATTAACTATGTATGAATGCGTCGAAAAATAACCGATGACTATTGTTTGTAATATCTGAATGATTTGTTGGGAATTAAATTGATTTGTTTACGATCCGAGTTGAATGTTGCATCTTTCCGAATTTGTATGGGCGCTGCGTTCTTCGGTGTGAGTCGTTTTTAACAATTTTCTCCTTATAGACGCAGAAGGAAAAAGCTTCTAAGGGTACCGTTGTAAATCGGGAATGCACGGAGAGTCATAAAATGTGGAATAGTACTTGACAACAATTAAGTAATTTTATCTGTAATTTACTTATAAAGTGAAATGGGTGTACACTGTATTTACTTTGATTCATATTCAGTGAACTATCTAACATATATATGAATTAAGCACAGGGATCTAAAGGGTGTTGGGGACTTTTCCAGTTACTTATTTAAAATTGAAGTTTTTACAGTTTTAATATGTACATATGTCTAGGACTACAAAAAAGTCTAAATGAATTAGTAAAGTTAAATCAAAGGCCAAGCCGTTAAGCCAATTTAAAGTAGACTCCGTCTTAAAAATTGCTGGATCTATTTAGACGTGAGTCTCCCATTCATCTTCTTATCCCTCAAGTTCTATATGTCACACTGTATAATTATTTTCACAAATTATTAAAATATACCTTAGAACCCTCCTGACATGAAATATCTTTGATGGATAAGAGAACAGGTCCAAGATTAGGATCCAGGGCCTGCAGGTTCATATGTTCTTTCCCTTGCATACTGTTCCTTCAATGAAAATTAGGTTGGAAGATATGTATCAAAAAAACGTTCTGGGTGTGTAAGGTATCAGGTTGCAAAGATATAATGATAAGAAAGTTAGAAATTATAGTGAGTGTTTAGTTTTTTTCTCAATTATTTTACTACATATAGCTCTGTGAAGCTTGTAAAGTTTAGTTTGTTAATTGTATGAGAAGTTTAAATGAAAGATTTAATGTTAGCTCTTGAATCTAACGTTAGTACATTAGAATTAAAACAAACAAGCTTTTAGAAACTAGTTTCATGAGTCCTAAGAAGCAAGCAAAATACGTCCTAGAAAGCTAGCTAAATAAGTCCTAGAAAGCTAGCTAAATAAGTCCTAAGATTGAGGTAAAATAAGTCCTTTAAATCTAGCTAAATTAGTCCTATAACTAAATGAGTTATTATTAGAAGCTAGCTAAAGATGACTACATATAGCTAAATAAGTTCTAACTAAATTAGATCTAATGAATCTATCTTAATTAGTCCTAGAAGCTAAATAGCTAAAATAGTCCAAAGAATCTAGCTTAATCAGTTTTAACTATCTGACTAAATAAGTACTAAGAAGCTAGCTTAAAAAAAATATTTTAAACTCCAGTTGCACTGTACTCATTTTTGTACAGGCTTAGCCATTTGTAACAGTTGAAATTGTACTGTACTGAATTTTATTTGCACCCTGGCAACGACGGGACAAGTGAAATTTAGACGAGTACAAAATCATCCGTCACGAGAACCTGGCGTGGTACAGAAAGTCAGTACAGTACAATTTAAACTGAACCTGAGTTTTAGCTTGATGCATTTGACAAATGGTGACCTGTACGCAGTAGCGTTTATATCTATTTCAAGAGCTGGCGAGTCCAAGCTAATAGTCTGAACTAAGGAGGGATTATGAAGAACCCATTCTGGGCCAGAAACTAGAACTTGCGGGGGTCGATCCTCTAAACCTAAAAAGATTAGTATTTCCTAAAATATTTTAGAGTTTCTCCCTGATACTCAGTTTTTTTATCTAGGCTTCTCTGTTGCAGTCTTATTTACATTTATTGGGTTAATTGTTAAAATTATAACTATCAAAGGCTGCAATATCTGAAAAGTTTTAAATATTTCCAAGTCAAAATTTGTTTTTGATGCTATTTGCAAATCCTTACTCAGAAAGATGCCTTTAACAGTCTAAAGACAAGATACAAATTAACCTGTAATAAGAAACTGAGTACTTTCCTAAACCTTCAATTTTCTAATCCCTATGTATCTGCAATCAAAAGAATGAGTTAACCTTGGCTATTTTGATCTTTGACTGGCTGATTTAATTTATTATTAGAATATGTCAGGTAAGAGATATATGAGGATTAAAAACTTGAGTTTGAGGCAGGTGTGCAGCTCCTTACTACCTGAAGATGAGTTGCATTGTAAGGCTCTAGCAAATGTTTGCTCTAGAGGTTCAGACTCTTCGATTATTATCACAGGACTAGCCTAAAAATAATACAGTTTAGACTCCTGAATTATCATCACAGAACTGGTCTAAAAATAATACAGTTTAGACTCTTCAATTAGTATCAAAGAGCTGGTCTAAAAATAATACAGTTTAGACTCTTCAATTAGTATCAAAGGGCTAGTCTAAAAATAATACAGTTTATTCTCTTTAATTATTATCACAGGACTAGCCTAAAAATAATACAGTTTATTCTCTTTAATTATTATCACAGGACTAGCCTAAAAATAATCAGTTTAGACTCCTGAATTATTATCACAGAACTGGTCTAAAAATGATACAGTTCAGACTCTTAAATTTGTATCACAGAACTAGTCTAAAAAACTGTTTAACACAAAATCTTGTGTTGAAAAGATAAGCCTAAACCTGCCTAGAGGATGAACTACCTAAGTAGAGGATGAACTGAACTGAGTGGACATGAACCACCTGCCTAGAGGATGAGCTACCTTAGTAGAGGATGAACTACCTGAGTATAGGATGAACTACCTGAGTAGAGGATGAACTACCTGAGTAGAAGATGAACTGCCAGACTAGAGGATGAACTGTCTGAGCAGAGGATGAACTACCTGAGTAGAGGATGAGCTACCTGAGCAGAGGATGAACTACCTGAGTAGAAGATGAACTACCTCAGTAGAGGATGAGATACCTGAGTAGAAGATGAACTACCTGAGTAGAGGATGAACTACCTGAGTAGAGGATGAACTACCTGAACAGAGAATGCACTACCTGAGTAGAGGATGAACTACCTGAGTACAGGATGAAATACCTGAGCAGAGGATAAACTACCTGAGTAGAGGATTAACTACCTGAGCAGAACTGCCTGAGCAGAGGATGAACTACCTGAGTAGAAGATGAACTACCTGAGTAGAGGCTGAACTAGCTGAGTAGAGGATGAACTACCTGAGTAGAGGATGAACTACTTGAGCAGAGGATAAACTACCTGAGTAGAGGATGAACTACCTGAGCAGAGGATAAACTACCTGAGCAGAGGATGAACTACCTGAGTAGAGGATGAACTACCTGAGTAGAGGATGAACTATCTGAATCTGACTTGTTTCTCCTGAGAGATGAGAGAGATCTCATGTATAACTTCTCCAAGACAGGTCTGTTCAAAATCAATCTCAATCAAAATTTAAAGATCGCAATCGAAGCGAAGAATCGTAATTTTTAAATATTTTTTATTTTTAAATATTTTCTAAATGTTTTTAATTAGATTTTAAATTATTTCAAGTTCTAATCTCATATTAAGCTCAATTTAAAATTGTTTCTTTTAATTGAAACCATGATATTTATTCTTTAATATTTTGTATAAAGTCAATATTTTTACATTGAGTTGGTTTCCTTTGTTTAACAGGGACTGTTGCTCTAAACTCAATCTTCTAAACATTTTATTCAAAATTCATTCAGTTTAATTAGTAGATTCTTAGAATAAGGTTTGAAATTATATTTAAAATCATTTCTTTTTATGATCTCAAGAATTTTGTTTAAACATTGATCTTCACATTTATCTCCCCAATATTTACCTTCAGTTTTTAATATGCTAGTTAGATCTAAAAGATGATTTGTTATGTTAATTAATATTTTAAATAACCTGACATTTCCCAGTAGAGTCAATAACATCCACTTCAGCTTGACGCCTAAATATTCTTTTCACAGCAGACGTTTTCTTCTAAATAGACACTAATTTTAGAATTATTATTATTATTATTATTATTATTACTATTATTATTATTATTATTATTATTATTTTAAGTTTAAGAATATTTTTAAATATTTATATGATATCAGATGAGATGAGTTTGAGATTTTCAATCATATTTCGGCTAATTTTGAAAAAAAAGAAGATTTTTTATTGGATTCTTTGTATTACGTCACTCTACAAGAAAGAACTATTTTTAGAGGATCTAGCGTTTTTTCTGAACTCTGTATTGAATTGAAGTGGCTGAGAGCATCTTGATTTCTTTTTTTGGAACTCTGTATTGATATGTTTACTCATGAGTTACATCTGACGAAGCAAAACACCAATTCCTGGCAGGGAGAGGGGGGAAGCGATTGTCTCCACCCCCTCCCTCCTCCCCAGATGGAGGGGGGGGAGGGTTGCGTCTGCCAAGCCCCCATCTGTAATTTCATGAGATTTTCCTTCCAATTTTTTCTATTCAATTTTATTTTTTCTTCTTGCTTCTTGTTTCTTTATTCTACACTTTGAGGCTTTTCCAAATAGTTCTTTTGACATCAACATGTGGAGCAGGTACAGTTAAACCCTAAATATCAACATGTGGAGCAGGTACAGTTAAACCCTAAATAATCCATACATCGAAAGAATTCATCAAATGTCATATTCTCCACTTTCTGATAATGGAATGTTGCAGATATTAAGTTTTTTAAGATTAAATGATTATGTGGAGCTCTTTAAAACTGTTCCCGCATATTCATTGCTATTTATTTATTTTCTCAAATACTGAGATTTACGTAAAATAGTATAAAACCCATTGAAAAATTGTCAAGAGGACATTTATTAAATTCTTTCCATGTATTGCTCATTTAGGGTTTAACTGTAGGAGAGAGATAAGGAAGTTAGTAGGTGGAATAAGGAATTGCTCACTGTTTTACTTTGAGTTATAGTCTTTCTAACTAAGGGAAATCTTAAGGAAACCCATAACTGCCCGCCCTTATGCAAAATGTGGAATTGTAAGCCTTAAAGCTCTATTGAGAAGAATGTACATTTGCTACTCCCCTTAAGGATACAAAATGTGTAACTAAACGCAGCACTCCGCCAACTGTAAAGCTGGGACGGCTATAAGAGAGGTCTGTTCTCTTCTGAGGGCGGTTAACAACTGATTATTATTATTATTATCATTATTATTTTTATTATCATTATTATTATTATTATCATTATTATTTATTTTTAATTTTAGTATTAGTATTAGTTTTAGCATTATTTTTAGTAATTTTATGTTTGTAATTAATTTCATCATCATTCTCCCATCAAAGGTTTCCCTTCAAATTAAGGAAAAAAATATTATACTTGTGTTTTCTTTTATAATTGTTTATGGAAGTTACTCCATATTAGATATCAATTAACCTTGTTATTCTTAGATATTGTTTAATACATTCCGTCTAAACATTCCTCCTCTGCACATCTGGTACAGTGGGTACAATATAACGTGGAATAGGAAGACGACTGTTGGAATCAAGTCCAGATTTTAAATAGTCCAAGGAACATGAAACACAGCAATGTGCAGTTTACACATACTATCATTTAAACAACATAACTTAATGTCGTCTTCTCATTCAGAAGTTTTATGGGTTCCATTGTGTATTCAATAAAGGGGGGGGGGGGGGTCATATCCTTCTGACAAACTTAAGAATAAGTTTACATATGTCGTTATCCATTTCCAATCCCACTCATCAAAAATAAATTTTTCCTCTGTATTACAAAGATACAATTAATTATTGATTAGTTTGCTTTGAACGAAACCTGAAGAAACCCCTTCAGGTAAAATCTAATTTTTCCCCAAACATTTCTAAAATCAATCCCAACTTAGAGTTTTCTTAATGCAGTACATAAACTAGAGTTTTCTTTATGCAGTACAGAAACTAAAGTTTCTTCATGCAGTACATAAACTAGAGTTTTCTTCATGCAGTACATAAACTAAAAATTCTTCATGCAGTACATAAACTAGAGTTTTCTTTATGCAGTGCAGAAACAACTAAAGCTTCTTCATGCAGTCTATAATCTAGAGTTTTCTTCATGCAGTACATAAACTAAAGTTTTTTTAATGCAGTACATAATACAGTTTTCTTCGTACAGTACAGGGTTTCCCAATAAACATGGGAATTAAATTACGACTTCTAAATCATCTTTGTTCCATGCGGGATTATTTCGTAAATATAAATTTTGCAGTATTAACATCGAAAACTACTATCTCGGGATTTGCAAAATGTGGTCTACTATTTTTCACCTTCACAATTGACGGAAATATCAGGTAGTTTGTCCAAATTCCAGTTAATTGAAAATCAACAAAACTGTTCAAATGTTTAATATCTCCGTTAGTTTTAAACGTAAAAGAAGGTAGACCACATTTTGGAAAGAGTATTAGACGTTTACTCATTTTTTTATGCACAGTCATTTATCAATTATCGGAAATCAAAGACGATTTTTAATTCGTCTCTCAATTCCCATGTTTATGGGGACACTCTGCACATAAACTGAAGTTTTCTTAATACAGTAAACAAACCCACTTTTCTCAATACAAAACATAATATAGTTTTCTGCATGCAGTACATAAACTAAAGCTTTCTTTATACAGTACATGATATAGTTTTCTAAGTGGAAAACAGAAACTTAGGTTTTCTTAAAACAGTATAATAATATAGTTTTCTTCATGCAGTAAATGAATTAAAGTTTCTATCATGCAGTGCATAATTCTCAAGTTTTCCTCTCACAGTAAATAAATTAAAGTTTTCTGAATACAGTACATAACGTAGTTTTCTGCATGCAGCACAGAAACTGAAGTTATCTTCATGCTGGCTGTACATAGTATAGTTTTCTGCATACAGTACATAAACTAAAGTTTTCTTCATGCTGGCTGTGCAGTGTGCATAGTATAGTTTTCTGCGTACAGTACATAAGCTGAAGTTTTCTTTATGCTGGCTGTACATAAAAAAGTTTTTTGCATACAGTACATAAACTGAAGTTTTCTTCATGCTGGCTGTGAATAGTATAGTTTTCTGCATACAGTACATAAACTGAAGTTGTCTTCATGCTGGCTGTGCATACAGTATATAAACTGAAGTTTTTTTCATGCTGGGAGTACATAAATTAAAGTTTTTTTATACAGTACATAAAGTTTTCTCCAGCTGGCAGTACCCAAATTAAAGTTTTTTTTTTCATTCAGTACATGAACTGAATTTTAGGTCGTTGTTATTAACCTCTTTTACTGGAAGTGAACATCTTTGGTCCTCCATCCTCCACCTTAAACAAATATTTACACAATAACTCAAAAGCATAGAAAAAGGAATGGAGTCTTTGCCACAAACTCTGATTTTATAATCTCACTTTACATTCTATTAGATCAAACAATCATCATCATGTTGCAAAAATTTGGATTTGTGGAAATTCCTTTACATTTCAGATACATCTATCTGATGAAAGGAATCAATGTCGACCTGGAATAAATCCTGTCTGTTGCAGAAGTTAGATAATTAATGTTAAGGAAAACCGGGATCCACAGAAAATTGAACCGACCTATTGTTGAAAATCTAGCTCTTAGAAACCCCAACCTTTAGCATGTCAGTTTTCTTTTTTTAAGATTCACTTTTATAGTTGCTCTACTTTCATGTAAACAATTATTCAGAATTTAATTTCATGGAAAATTTGAATATTTTTGTTATGCATCCGAATTTCAGAAACTTTGAAAATACCTTTTTGGAACATGATATTGTATTTACTCCAATGCGTTGTTAAAAAATATTTTAAATTAATTTCAAAACTGTTCATGTAAGTCAATTGCTAATATGTTATTTTTCCATCAATTAAACTTTTTAAAATTGTTATATAAAGATATTTTAATTTTAAATAATTTGACATTTAGCAAAATTGAGCATATCGTGTAGAATTTAGTCTTTTTTAAGGGACTGCAGATGTTGTTTAGGTGACTCCCCATTTATAAGTGATTGGCATTGGTAACTGTGTCAAAATTGAAAGACGTATCCATGTTGTTAAGACTAAAAATTGCTAACTATTTAATTGTTGTTACTCTTACTGTGACTTGTGGATTTAAAACGAAACCAGAAAAAATTAAACACTTTTCAAGATAGAAGAACAACAATATCTTCCTCAGTGGTATCTAAGATAAATGTTTAGAGAGATCAGCGATTGAAATATTGTCTACTGTGGATCTCTCTAAAAATCGCAAAATCCGTTAAAAATGTTCTCTAAAGAATACAATTATTGTAAGCAGATATATATATAGTTCGTGTTAGACATAGGGCGTATAGCTACAGCGTGGCATTGATCTAGGCCAACAACTAGGCCAACGTGGAGGCAGAGGACTCGTCATGTTTGAACTCGAGTACGGGGACTCAAACTGAATGGACGACAGAGAATACATCTGTCATAGAAGGCGAAGAAGCGCCTCTGAAAGATCATCTCCCTTTAAATCAAACCGTAGAACTTAGTATCGCTTTATTCTTAATACGTTTTAGTGTCAATATAAGGTTTTGTATAGTTCGTTTTATTATTCAGAACAGTTTAGCGCTCATTACATAACACAATTCATTACCAAATTCCAATATTTTGATTGTTCATGACTCTTTACAGGGACTATAAACATAATTTCAGCGACCTACCTATTTAAGAGTTACGTATGCTCAATTTAAAGAAAAATATATAGTCTTTCTTCTATTGAGAAAAATGTTAAATTCGCCCAACTTCCCTCTTTGTTTCTCCTACATAAATTCGAAAGACAATCTTATAAATAAACCAAAAGTCAAAATTATCAATAGTTAAAATATCATAAGATATCATCATAATTTGTTGTCAGGCAAATGTTTACTTGATACCGTTGTAAATAAGTAGGTTGGCATTAGCTCTCTAATTTCTTTGCATTTTCATATTTCAAGTTTACCTTGCATCCAGCAGTTTACACAATTGATCTTCTATTTCAACTAAAAACAAAATTGTTAATTTGTTAGAATTTAATCGTTAGTTTTGTAAGTTATTCGTTTAATAATATTATGCTTATTCTTAAAAGAATTATATGCATGCTCTTCTTGTTTTTTCTTGTTTAGCTGTAAATAAACTTTAAACTTAAATCTTGTTCACCTAAATCTTGTTTAATTAATTCTTGTTTATCTAAATCTTGTTTACCTGAATCTTGTTTACCTAAATCTTGTTTAGCTAAATCTTGTTTACCTAGATCTTGTTTACCTAAATCTTGTTTACCTAAATCTTGTTTACCTAAATCTTGTTCACCTAAATCTTGTTTACCTAAATCTTGTTTACATAAATCTTGTTTACCTAAATCTTGTTTTGATTTTGAGGATTCTTTTTTAGGTTTCTTCTCTTCTCTCAATGACTCAGCAAGATGAAGATGATCCTCGGACTAAATGTTAAAAATGTATTTCTTCTCTTAAGCGTATTTAAGCTTGCTTGTATTACTGTCAGATTTATTATATTTTTGCTAATTTGCAACCATTAAATGCTTTTGCTTCCTCAAGGATTTTTCTTTTTTCCTTCTCATTCATAATGATATAAAAACTGTCAAAGAAATTGAGTCTTTGCCACAAACTCAAATTTTCTAATATCTATATATCTACAACCAGATAATGTAAACCTTTGATATTTCAAACTTAGATTATTTGATCCATCAGAATTCATGGTTTGAAATAACTAAGGTCAACGACATTGGTCGTGAAGATATAGGGATTATAAATCCGAGTTTGTGACAAAGACTTAATTCCTTTATACAAAAATAAAAATGTAACTCATTTTTTCGAAAATATAGATATATATTGGTTGAAAATCACTTTTACCTTTGTTTCTCTGAGACTCTCTTGTCTAAAATACAAAAATATTAAATTATAAATATTGGAAAAATTCTAAGAAAAAAATTCAAAACAATTTTATTCATTAAACTCGTGTAATTTGATTTTCAGTGCTTCTCTATTATCATTCTCAATCATTTTTAATAGAAAATGCGTCAATTTAAGCGCTAAAACATAACGTATTTTTGGAAAATATATATTACAATGTACAATGTATTTAGGAACATCATGAACTTTAAATTAATACAGAAGGTTGTATTTTTCATTCCTTTATAAAAAGCTGTTTTTTTTGTCAGCAAAAATATTCAAAAAATTTATTTATGCATATCCAATGTCCATGCTAAAACCAGCTCTTTTTTATTACTAGTCATGATGGTTTTAAAATATTAAATTGTTTTCTCCAGATTTACTTTTAACTTTAAAAGCTTTGTAAATATCAAAACTATTAGTACAATATTCTCAAAATCTGATTTAAAGTTCACCAACATGGTAACAGTATGCAGTAAAAGTACACCATATGAGTACACCAATGTGGCAACATTATGTTGCAAAGTACACCCTTAGTACACCAAGATGAAAACTTTTTGTTGGGAAGTACACCATAATGGCAACATTACACTGAAAAGCATATAAGCAAGGCGATATTATACTGTAAAGTATACCATGGCATTAGGTTGTAAGAACACAAGCATGGCAACATCATACTAAAAAGAACACCAGCATGGCAACATTAGGTTGTACAGTACACAAGCATGGCAACATCATACGAAAAAGTACACCAGCATGGCACCATTATACTGTAAAGTACAACCGGAGTACACAAGTTGATCCAGAAACAATAATCCTTGACGTTTAAATAAAGGATTACAATGCATTATTCTGATTACTATCTTCTATATTTCAGACTATTCTATCTTATTCTTCCATGCACAGGGTGAACCACAAAAAATGAGACTTGAGAGACAGGGGTGGCAATGCACATTTGTTTATATACAAATTGTAAGGTTTTATTTGAGAAATTGGATTCATTTATATAAGTCGGTAGGAATTATTGAGTACGAGTAGGCCACCATAATGATGTTTACAGTGAACCTTGGAATGGGATGATAACTGCAGTATGATATTTGTTAAAAAAAATTTAGTTCAATTCCAAACTTAAAATTTCTCAAAACAAACATATCATAATTATTCAGTTCAATTTTATGATGTGACGATATCGACATCTTCGAATTTAATGAAAATAAAAATTAAATGATATCTGATTTTTTGGAAAGATATTCTTGTTGCTTGAAGGATTACCACCCTCGCTCTTGTAATATTCTTGTTAGACCAACGCTCGTGCCCCCCCCTCAACCCCTCTCTGAGCCCAAAATTTAGAAGAGTATCGTTGAACGAAACTCCCGAGTTTCCTTTCTTAACATTTGTGTACATTTTGATTTAAGAGATTTGAAAAAATGGAGAAAATAAACAAACTAAAAAAAATCATATTTCTTTACAAAAATATTGATATTCCGGAGTTTAAAACTGGTTTTCATAACATTACCCTGTTTCAGGTTTTGGGTTGAATCCCGTTTCTTTTCAAACTTTTTAGTGAAATTCATCTTTTGTTGAATTGGTGGATATCAAGATTAATGCTTAAATTCCTGGTTTTACTAAACCCAAGATTTTTTAAAAATGCATTCGATATCCAAGAAAGAAGTTAAAAATTTAACCAATCAGCGACTGCGAGTCATGTTAAGATGTACTCTTTAACGTTTGAAACAACGGTTTTGATTTCTGATGTTGATGGTGTCATGTCAATTGAACTAACCATCGATTTAACGAACGTAAGTTTTGGGTTAATGTTTATTAAGACTAACGTGTTCAAAATGACAATATAGTCCTAAAATATGTTTTTAATAATTTCATATTAACATGACTAGATTTATATTTGTTTAAATGCCCTCAAAGCCGGCTTGTGAACAGCTGACTTTAATTCAATCGGATATTAGTCCAATCGATAGAGCGTTGTCTCTGTAATTGTTTTCAAACGTCAAAGTCTCGCGGCACACAATTTTCAGCTTAAAGAACAAAGATATATACGTCATATTTTCTCAGACAAAGGATTAAAGGTATCGTTTTGAATCGGACATGTCATCTAGTTGGGTGTCTCTGAAAATTGCGAATACAGTTTCACTGAGATTACTTTAATTACTTTGCAGATTTTCCTCTTTTTGTAAAAAAATTTACTCAGCTGTGTTTTGTTATATATTTACTCAGCTGTGTTTTGTTATAAATTTACTCAGCTGTGTTTTGTTTTATATTTACTCAGCTGTGTTTTGTTATATATTTACTCAGCTGTGTTTTGTTATATATTTACTCAGCTGTGTTTTGTTATAAATTTACTCAGCTGTGTTTTGTTATATATTTACTTAGCTGTGTTTTGTTATATATTTACTCAGCTGTGTTTTGTTGTATATTTACTCAGCTGTGTATTGTTATATATTTACTCAGCTGTGCAGTTTTGTTCTATATTTACTCAGCTGTGTTTTGTTGTATATTTACTCAGCTGTGTTTTGTTCTATATTTACTCAGCTGTGTTTTGTTATATATTTACTCAGCTGTGTATTGTTATATATTTACTCAGCTGTGTTTTGTTATATATTTACTCAGCTGTGTTTTGTTATATATTTACTCAGCTGTGTTTTGTTATATATTTCGCATTTACCCGCCTCGCAATCCACCGCCTCAGCAAATGTATTATTTAGAATTTTGCAGTTTTGCACTCAATACCATCCATTAACATTAAACTTTATAGGTGTAATTCCGGTATACATCATATCACAAGGATTTCTATTGGAGGGTTCCAGGCGCAAAACATTTTTATTAAATTTCAGGACAGTTTGTCCAAATTAAGTTAAAAATTGATATAAATAACATTTAAAAACTGTTTAATGTTTACAATAAAAAACTAGTCTGAAAAAACGCACTACTATTGAAATAAATGCGGTAATTTTTTGGGGAAAGATGGGAAAAATTTGAATTATTCTTCTGAAATCCATTAGAACAGATGTACACTGGAAAATAATATATTGTCCTACCAAGTACCAATACGGTTTTTTGATGTTGCAAGCAACAATATTTTGTTCTGTTTTAGCGTGCAGTTTGGTTTGGAAGAGAGCTTCTCCATTTTTTATTTTTAAATATTAAACACTTTCTTATTCTATGTAAACCTTGAGATGAAATCCTAAAATTGTTATTGAATAGTCTAATTAATCAAAAACACATTTTGTTAGAATTAGAGTATGGAATTTAGTCTAATTGTAACAAACTCAAATATGTTCAAATCCACCTCTTTGCAACCTGATTGTGTAAACCTTTGATATTTTAAACTTGGATTTTTTGCACTAACAGAATTCATAGTTTAAAATATCTAAGGTCTCCGACTTTAGTTTGCAAAGATATACGGATTAGAAAATTATAGTTTATGACAAAGACTCAATTCTTTTACGCAGTTCATATAGTCTTCTCATTGGTCGGCAGAAGCTAAACTTTAAAATTTTATAAATTGCTGGTTGGGTTTTCCGATGCTATTATTTAGATATACATTAAACATAAATACCTTGAAAATACCTTGATATACCTTGAAAATAATATCTTTAACCTGTATAGTTTGATCCCCTTTTTACATTTCTTGAAATTGATGTTTATCTCCCCTGGAGCCGGAGTACCCGCATAGTTCTTCTCCGGGGCAGGATCAGGTTCCGGAGAAAGATCAGGTTCAGGAACAAACTCGGGTTCAGGAGAAATATCTGAGACCGGTTCAGTGTTTGACTCCGAGCTAGAGTTAACTATGTTCTCTTGGTTCAGGTTTCCATACTTCCTCTCCTCCTTCACCATATTATCCTCATCCAGTCTCCCATCCTAAATTTGAATTAAATTTTAAATTTTAAGTTTCCGATTTGCCATTTTTAACCTTATTAGAAGGATTTGATTTCGCCATTCTTGACGTTCTATGATACTTTCCAAAAAGTATTTTCCCAAGAACTGACTTCCCTTACGTACAATTTATCAAGTGTAATTAAATGTGCAAGCTGCAGCGCGTGCTCGGCTCATATACTATTAGAAGCCAATGCGGATTAACCTAAACTAATCCAACATATACAATTAATTCTCCTTCAATACTAACACAAGTTCAAAATGTGCATGATCCGAAACAGTACAAGGATTTCCTGGTATGACATATATGGCCTCTTGAAATGATAATTTGTGAAAAAATCTTCAGATTTCTCGTCATAAATACGTTCTTTAACATATATATTTTGCACTGAACCCCGACATATCGTTTGTGAAAGAGGAATTTTTGGGTCTGAATTAAAATTAGAAATCGGAAACTCCGAGATTTCCTATTTCACTAGTTTACCCGGAGTTTACCTGGTTTGCAATATCTCTATCTGTTCTTATATCTAGATCTAGTTCACTTGCTACCCCGGAGTCCTGACTGATCAGCTGAGCACATGTAGAATACCTAAATGACCAAAAGAAAATAAACTATTTTAAAATGCTCATATCAGGCCACTTAAAACTATTTAGAGAGACAAATTACAGCTATTGGCAAACTTAGCTTAATTTCCATGTCATATAAATCAGGCTAAAAATGCTTTTACTTTTTACTTTAGATGTAAACATGAAAATTCAAATTTGTCCTCATTTTTAACTCCCTAAAGCGCCAACAACTACTTGAGAGAAAATGTATAGATTAACACTTTACCGTGACAAGAAGCGCACCGAATTCATTTTCTGATACAGTCTAACTTTTCAGTTAGTTGTAGCAAAACTTCAAAACATTATAATTTATTTCAGGTAATTACTACAACAGTAATAAACTGTATAAAAATAAAGAATTGGATTCGATTGCCTTATTTATTTTTGTAAAATGTGATCTTATTTCTCATTAACTTACCTTCTAGTATTCCTCTCTATTACTTTTAAATATCTATTAAAGCTGTCCGCTTCCTATTTACAATATCAGTTGGAAACTAAATATACGTACTGGGGCACTAAGAAAGAATGAGACTTTAAAGACGCGACTGTAGAAAATATTTCAATATTGTTGATCAAAGGATTTGAGTCTTTGCCACAAACTCTGATTTTCTAATCCCTATATGTTTTTAATCCAATGGCATAGACCTTAGATATTTCAAACTATGAATTATGTTATAGATCAAATAATTCAAGTTTGAAATATCAAAGATTTACACCTTCTGGTCGCAGAGATTAGAAAATTTTAGTTTGTGGCAAAAACTCAGTTCCTTTACGGTTCTTACTTATCATATCGCAAAAGAAATTGAGTCTGTGCGCCACAAATTCAAATTTTCTAATCCCTATGTCTTTGCAACTTGATGGTGTAAACCTATGACATTGGATTTTTAAGATATAAGGACTTGAAAATCAGAGTTTGTGGCAAAAACTCAGTTCCTTAATAAGCTAATGGTAGTTTTAAAGGTATGCCACCAAAATAAACATTTTACATAAACTTTCTAGTCATGCATTAAAGTCTTCTTTAATGTGGGTCTATTAAAATATATTAAAATATTTTAAAATCCAGCAACAGAAAGAAAATTCTATTTAAAAATTATGTTTCTAGATATATATTAACAAAGATGTATTCAAACAATTGAGAAAAGTTTAAAAAAATATTTTTTGTATTTAAATATTAATGTTCCAAATGATCAAGGTTTCCTCTAGGTATGAGCTAAATGATGATTGTCTAGAGCTTTCAGCAGATGCGGAGAGAAACTTTTTATCCATTTTTCTAAAAATATTCAGGAAATCAAGAGAAAAAAAGGATTTTTATTTTAACTTAGTAATTTTTCGGATTTTCTTTTTCTTAGCAACCTGGTCATTTTTTATATAATTCAAACTTTGACTATATTGATCCAGCTGAATTCATTTATTTGAAATATCTGGTCTTCGACATCATGGGTTACAGAGATATATGAATTTTGCTGAGAAAAATCACTACCTTTCGTTTAATTTTGGTCTAAGTTGCACTTGCATAATACGAATAGTTATGAATTCATATTATGAAATCTATGAAATCCTTTTGATAGAAAATTTGAGACTTCAGGGGTTTTATGTCATTTAGGTCAACATTTGGAAAACAGCATTTTAGCAATTTTTGTTGTAATTAAGCATTAGTTTTCAGAGAGACTTGACAGTAAAATTATCAAGAAAAAAGGTTATGTGCCCAAATAGTTTTATTTCTTTCTAATTCACTGTTGTATGGGTCTCATAGTAAATATCGATGATTTCCTAAAATATGTTATCCCGACTTAAATCTTTTTTGGGACAAAGCCTTTGATGAAAAATAATAAAGCGCTTAAATAAAAAGACAATTTCTTAAAATGAAATTTCACAAAACTAATTTTGCAAGAAAATCTAATGCGTGGTTATTTAAACTTTCTTAAATCGTACGGTCATAACACATAAGAATAGAATACAAAATAAAAATATCTCTCTGAAGATGCAAATGTTTAAGAAGATTTAAAGATGATAAAATCTATTTTTGTTTTGTTGGAACTGCACACCCATGAACGCGTAAAACAAACTTTTTCTTTTTAAATCTTGATTTCTTCCCACATACATAAATATGCTTTTCTACGACTTAAACGAGGTATTTCTATATTATTCAAAAATTAAAATCTGTATTTAAAGAAAGACGATAAGAAAAACATGTTTTCAATCTTAGAGATTCTTTAATCTTCAATCTAGAAAATATTTCAGATTATTAAACTGAGAAAATTCTTTAATACTTTATTGTACATTAGTATTTTGCAGTTTGAAATGCTGATTTAAACCATTTATAAGGAACAAAATGTTCAACCTTAAAAATATGAATCTTGCAGAAATAAATTGGAGCATATATATGTATTGTATACAGTCTTATTAATACCACAATTCTTTAAGGACTAATGAGGATATAAAAATATATCGAAATTAATTTCAAATCTCGAAACATTGAATAAAATTTCAAGTGGAACCAACCATGTATGAGACTCGTTTCATAGTTGAGCCGCGACTCAAATTCTTTAAATCGGCCTCTGGAAAATTTTTAAATTACTAGGTTTTTAGGGCGTTTGTAGAATTTCTCAATATAATAATTTTTCGGAATTTGTAGAATTTTCCAATATAAATATTTTTCGGAACTTGCAGAATTTCTCAATATAATAATTTTTTGGAACTTGTAGAATTTCTCAATATAATAATTTTTCCGCTTTAACTTTAGCTGGATTTTGAATACATATTCTGGAACTTGGAAGTAAAAGAATTGAGTCTTTGCCACAAAATCTTGTATTCTAATCTCAATATCTTTGCAACACAATGTCGTAGACCTTATATATTTCAAACTATGAATGCTGTTAGATCATATAAATTTGTAAATATTTAAGTTTAAGGTGTAAAAAATGTTAATTCAAACTATCTTAATTTTCATTTAAACTATCTTAATTTTCATTCAAACTATCTTAGTTATCATTCAAACTATCTTAGTTTTCAGTCAAACTATTTAATTTTTCATTCAAACTATCTTAATTTTCATTCAAACTATCTTAATTTTCATTTAAACTATCTTAATTTTCATTTAAACTATCTTAATTTTCATTCAAACTATTTTAATTTTTCATTCAAACTATCTTATTATTCATTCAAACTATCTTAATTTTCATTTAAACTATCTTAATTTTCATTCAAACTATCTTAGTTTTCATTCAAACTATCTTAGTTTTCATTCAAACTATTTTAATTTTTCATTCAAACTATCTTAATTTTCATTCAAACTATCTTAATTTTCATTTAAACTATCTTAATTTTCATTTAAACTATCTTAATTTTTCATTCAAACTATTTTAATTTTTCATTCAAACTATCTTATTATTCATTCAAACTATCTTAATTTTCATTTAAACTATCTTAGTTTTCATTTAAACTATCTTAATTTTCATTTAAACTATCTAAATTTTTATTTAAACTATCTTAATTTTCATTCAAACTATCTTAGTTTTCATTCAAACTATCATAATTTTCATTCAAACTATTTCATCCCAACTATCTTTATTAATTTCATCCGAACTATCTTTCTTTTTCATCCCCAATTAGCATTTTGCATCCATCTTCATTTATAATCCCACTTATTTTTATTTTTCACGATATAAAAGTTTAAATTATACATTATTAACAATAGTGGAGTACCACACAAATATAACATATTTATTCATGATTTTGTATTATATCGATGTAAGCAATTGATACTTGAGATATTCCTCATTATATTTAACAATGATTATATTTATATTTATCATTATTATCCAACCTACTCTTCTCACCAGCAAGGGTGGGGGAATGAGTATGGCATAAATCCTCAATAAAAAGACACCATTTTATGTTTTTCAACTTTGAACAATGCATGGTGAGTTTTAAAAAACATTGTCTTTATTATCTTTGTTTAACGCGGTACTTTTTTGGACACAAATTTACTACAACTACAACTTTAAGTACAGAACACGATTAATCTCGGGACTTCCAAAATGTGGTCTGCCATTTCTATACCTTCAAATTTAACGGAGATATAAAGAATTTTGTCTAGATTCCAACTAATTTAATAAAATCAAGTTTTTAATTTACCACTCAATTTTATTAATAAAAAATTAAACCATGATTATGGAAATTGCACATTTGTTTTTTTAATACACTCTTTTAAATTCATCAGCTTTCGGATTGCAAATTAGATTTTCAAGTCGTCTCTTGATTCCCATTTTATTAGGACATCTTGGTAGAACTTAGTCCATCACGGTATTGATTGAAAGTCCAGTGAGTCTTAACTTTAGAACCCATTTTAACCCATTTGATGGAAATTTTTCTTAATTACTATTTTATACTTTTTATTTCTTCGTTCTTTTTTTCTTTTTATTAGATTTCATCTTTCTTTAGTTTTCTTCTTTCCCTGTCTTTAACTTTCCTTCAACTCATTTTCTCTTTCTTGTTATCTAATTACTGTTATCTAATTTCTGTTATCTAATTCCTGTTTTCTAATTTCTGTTTTCTGATTTCTGTTATCTAATTTCTGTTTTCTAATTTCTGTTTTCTAATATCTGTTATCTAATTTCTGTTATCTAATTTCTGTTATCTAATTTCTGTTTTCTAATTTCTGTTAACTAATAAATTTTAAATCTTAACTTCAGTAATTCAGCTTTGTTTTGCTTTTACAATTTCTTTTAGGTTTCCACTTATCACGCAAATAATAAAGGGTTGGGGACGGGAGAGAGAGGGATGGGGAGGCAGCGACGGTTAGAGGGAGAGGAGGCAATAATAAATATGGTTCTAGGTAAAGAGAAAAATAAACACTGAAAAATAGAGACGATTTCTAACCTCAGGAGATACAGAGAGAAGATATCTCACCCTCTCTTTCTATCCTCTTATCCGGATATCCTCCCATATAGAGTTCATTTCATCCGGATATCCTACCATAAAGAGTTCATCTCATCCGGATAACCTTCCATACAACGTTCATCTCATCCGGCTATCCTACAACACAGAGTTCATCTCATCCAGATATCCTCCAAAACTGAGTTCATCTTATACGGTTATAATCCCAAACAGAGATCATCTCATCCGGATGTAATTCCATAACAGTTTAACTAATCCGGATATCCAATCCAGAGTTAAACTCATCCGGATACTCTCCCATTCAATGTTCATACTATCCTCAAGTTCGTCATATCCGGATATCCTATCATATAGAGTTAATTTCAACCAGATATCCTCCCATAAAGAGTTCATCTTTTCCGGATATACTGGAATAAGAATTTCGACTTGTCCGAAATTTACCTAATCCAGATATTTTCTAATTCGGATATTTTCTAATCCGGATATTTTCTAATCCGGAGTTCAACAACAACTTGCAGAGCACAGTGCATTTATTTACATAGAAGAAAACTAATTGCAATAGAATTCTAAATACCAGTATTTTTTTTTAAGGAATTGAGTCTTCGCGCCACAAACTCTGATTTTCAAATACCAACATCTTTTTGACCCAATGTCGTAGATCTTAGATATTTCTAACGATGAATTCTCTTAGATTAAATTTTCAACGTTTGAAATACCAAATACTTTGCAAAGTTTTATAATCAGAAAATTTGAGTTTGTGGCAAGACTCAATTCCTTTACTGAAATAAAATCCTTGAGCTCTATATAATATTATAGAGCTCTTTGCTCATATAAATATTAATGTTTATATTTTAGCTAAATCTGGCCAAATGGCTGAACTTAGGGAACTTAGGGAACCTAATTGGCTCTTTTTTTAGGGCTGGGGTATCGGGTAACCCAGCCAGGGGTAATATAAGCTAAAAAATAATTTTCGAAACCCGATTTTTTTCTAAATTAAAATTTTTTTTTCATTGTTTTTTATAATTCCACGGGCAAGGCCGGGCAGTTCAACTAGTATATTACATACAATGTGAATTGTGATCCACCAAATTTGTTAAGTTTTCAAGCATAAGGATAAATTATAAGAGCTGAACCTTTACAAGTGTTTTTCCATATTTCAGCCTTCAGTCAGCTGCATAAACTCATCAAACTAAGTAAACGTAAACTAGGTGAGAAAATGTTATATACTATGTATTCGCGTCCAACTTCCTTTTCTCTTGTAAATAAGTTCTCTTGTGTATCAAAATATTTCGCGGATGAAGGCATAAACCCTAGGATCACGCGAGGTCCCACAAAAAATTGGGCCCTAAACATGTTTAAGGGACTCTGTGAGCGTAATATCTAGTGGCCCTAGGGCCATCCATGCAAAGATTTGTCTGATCAAGTATGCATTAGATATCAATGGTTTTGTTTCTTTAAACTGTTTATTTTCATTTGCGGTTTCTCTACGAAAGTGACACTTGCGCATTCTTTGTTTATAACAAGCAATTGGAGAAACTCACAAAAATAAACAATCTTAGAGTGAGAAAACGACAATATCTTCCACATTTTAATCAGATGAAGGTTTCAAGGATACCGCTGCCATCATTACATGTTGTGTCATTTGAAAGGAATTGAGTATTTGCCACAAACTCAAAGTTTTTATTTTCTATTTCTATAGAACGCGATGGTGTAAACTTTTGATATTTCAAACTTAGAAAACAGAAATCATAGTTTGAAATATCCAAGGTCTACGACATTGTATTGCAAAGATATAGGAATTAGAAAAATCTAAGTTTGTGGCAAAGACTCAATTCCTTCCGCTTATTATTAAGATGTTTAGTTAGAAACATTCATTCTTTATATTATATCCAATAAAATGTTTTGTTGTCTTTGCAGAAAAATAATAAAATTTTATGCATCTTGTTGTAACAAATATGTACATATTTTATATCTGTAGAATATTGCATTTTTATTTTACAAAATTGAATATTCTGTGTTCTTGCAAAACTATATTTCTTCTAAAGAATTCTTTTTTTTGTACTTATTTTTGATTGATGATCTACATAGGAAACAGACCTAAAGGGTATGAACTGATTATTGAGTAGCCTTTATTTGCCAGCTCCAGTCCTTTTTAGGTAAAATGTTTTCTGTGAGTATTGACGATTCTTGACATTCCAAAAATTGCCGAATTGTAACAATTGGACGCCGCAGGATAACTGAGTCTTTACCACGTACTCGTTCTCTTACAGCCTTATTTCAATAGATATATCTATTCTTATATCTTTGCAAAATTAGATATTTCAAAGTAAAAATTATGATATTATCAAATAATAATCTTATTTGGAAATATCAAAGGTTTAAGTTTGTAGCAAAAACTCAATTTCTTTACGGGAAACATGATTAACGATGATAAGTAAAAATGGTATAAATACGATTATGACCAGTTGATATTATTCTTTAGGGAATATATGTACACTAAGAGTGTAAGGAAATGTTATAAGGAGACAGAACAAGATTAACTGTAAGGACAAACATTTTTCAGAGTTAACTTGACCTTTATATATGAAAACTTGTTTAAAAAAATGGGGTTTTGTTGATTCAACTAAATGAAATAACTGAGGTCAAACTTTTGATTGAGATAGGGCCAAAGCTTTAAATATTAACTCGATATCAGAAAGGTAAATTGTATTAAAGGAATTGATGAAACAAATCCAAAAAAGTGTTTAAATATTATCTACATTAATCCTTTAAAAAATAAAACAAAATATTGAATTCATAGTTTCTTAACCATACAAATAGTTCTGGCTTCTGGTTCAATGATTGTTTCTTTATAATCTTATTCTTGATTAGTTTTACATCATCTTTGTTGTTCTGAAAAGTTTTCTACCTGTCAGACAATGTCTGGGTCAATCTCCAGGTACGACCTTAAACCCTGCTCCGAGACTTCTAGCCTCCGGAGCACGAACCCATTCCTCTCCTCTGGTGATTCAGACTCGGAGTCGGAGCAGAACGGGTACGACCCGTTCTCGTCAGCTCCGGTAGCAAAACTAACACAGGCTAAACAGGTATTGATTAAATTTCATTAAAATACATTGTCCAACTGAACTTTACGTAAACTAATCTCTAGTTCTTCCTCTAAACTACCTTGTCCCTACTACAATCCATCTACTACCCTTTCCCTACTCCTATCCATCTGCTAACCTGTCCCTACTCATATCTCTAAACTACACTATCTCTACTTCTATCCCTACACTACCCTGTCTCACTCCTATCCTTAAAGTTCCCTGTCCCTACTCCCATTTCTAAACTACCCTGTCCCTACTCTTATCCCTAAAGAACCCTGTCCCTACTCTTATCCCTAAACTATCTTGTCTCTACTCTTATCTCTATCTAGAACCGGAGAAATGGATCTATGCAGAACCTTCTCCAGGAGAACCAGAACTTTAATCCTTTTACCAGTTCCGACTCAGGAACCTAGAGATATGATTTAATTAACGTTAACAGGAACCATCAGTATAATTTCATCTAAACCTCCGTTTCTTAAGTATCATTGACGATTAAAAGCCAAAAGCAAAGTACCGATGATGGGTGCATCTTCATTTTATCCAAAAGGTGATAACTTGCGACCGCAATTTTAATAAATCCATATATTTGCTTCATTTTTATTCCAAGATTTTTTCCGCGTTTTATCTCGTAAACAATCAAATCAATTCCATTTAATTGATTTTATGAAAACATTCAAGTAGGAGAAAACATCTGTTTAGTATTTATCTCTTCAGACTTCTGAGTCTCTTATTTGCGTAAAACTAAGGTACTTTATTGCAATAAAAATTATCGTAGAACTTGTTTATCACAGACATTAAACAAACTTTAAGCGTAACTCCAAGTGTTATTTAGTGACCCTCCTTGCAATTTCCCGATTTACTACGGTATCATTGATTCCCGATTTACTACGGTATCATTGATTCCCAATTTACTACGGTTTCATTGATTCCCAATTTACTACGGTATCATTGATTCTCAATTTACTACGGTTTCATTGATTCCCAATTTACTAAGGTATCATTGATTCCCGATTTACTACAGTATCATTGATTCCCAATTTACTACGGTTTCATTGATTCCCGATTTACTACGGTATCATTGATTCCATATTTACAACGGTATCATTGATTTCCGATTTACTACGGTATCATTGATTCCCAATTTACTACGATTTCATTGATTCCCAATTTACTACGGTTTCATTGATTCCCAATTTACTAAGGTATCATTGCTTCCCAATTTACTACGGTTTTATTGATTCCCAATTTACTAAGGTATCATTGATTCCCGATTTACTACAGTATCATTGATTCCCGATTTACTACGGTATCATTGATTCCCGATATACTACGGTATCATTGATTCCCGATTTACTACGGTATAGAGGACGTGAGTCAGACTCTAATAAAAACGCATAAATAACTTCCAGTATATATATTTCTTATAATGGAGGAGGCTAGACGAGCACGTAAGGAATTCTTTAACTGCCTGTGGAACCTTTCCACCATGCCGTTGGACTGAGGGTGGAAGGCTGTGGTGGTCTTGTGCTTGATCTTGAGTAGGGAGCAGATGGCGGACCACAGGGATGAAGTGAACTGGGCTCCTCTGTCACTTGTAATCACTGCAGGTACGCCAAACCTTGAGATCCATCCATGGAACATGGCGGAGGCACACTCCGCTGCTGAAATCCCAGTTAGAGGTATAGCCTCAGGCCATCTTGTTGATCTGTTGATGCATGTGAAGAGGTATGTAAAACCATGAGATAAGGGTAAGGGACCAACAAGGTCAACATGCACATGTGCAAATCTTCTGAAGGGTACAGGAATCTTTTCAGGGCGAATGTGAACATGGCGGAGGACTTTTCCTCGTTGGCACTGCAGGCAGGACTTGCACCAGTCACGAACGTCGTTGGCTAAGCCCCTCCAGACAAACCTTGTAGAAATAAGACGTCTGGATGCCCAAACTCCAGGATGTGATATTCCATGTAAGGCGGAGAAAATGTTAAACCTTTGAGAAGATGGAACCAAGGGGCGGAGAACCTTCGTCTTTGCGTCACAGAGCAGCGAACCATCCAGTACTGGAACAGTTACGAGGCGGAGGGTGGGGGAAACCTTTAGGCGGAGTATATCAGGGCAGGACAGCTGTTCTTTGGCTAATTCTGAAAAATTGATCACTGACGAAGTTGGAAAAGGTGATGGAGTTGATGAAACTGACACCTCAGACACCTCAGACACCTCAGACACCTCAGACACCGCCGACACCTCAGACACCTTAACTCCAGGGGAAGGAGGCAGCTGTGGAGCAGGGGGGGATTTTGGAGGAGGACGGCAGAGATTTCAGCCACTACATTTGCAGCTCCAGGTGTATGGCGGAGATCACTGGTGAATTCTGAGATAGAGGATAATTGGCGTTACTGACGGGCGGACCATGGCGGAGAAACACGTGAGAGAGCTGATACCAGGGGAAGATGATCAGTCAGTATATGAAATTTTCGTCCTTCTAACTCAAAGCGGAAATGGCGGAGAGCAAGAAACACTCCTAGGAGTTCTCTATCGAAGGCGGAGTACCTCTGTTGTGTGGCGGAGAGCTTGGCAGAGAAGAAAGCTAGGGGGCGCCAACCACCTGACTCTTTCTGCTGTAGATCTGCACCCACGTGTGTGTTGGAGGCATCAGTGACGAGTGACACCTCGGAGGATGGAAAAGGATGTGTGAGAGACACGGCGGAAGAAAGGGCGGAATTGGCTCTATCAAAGGCGTCTTGTAACTCCTAGGACCAGTTAAGAACTCGAGGATTTCCAGCTAGGGCATCAGTGAGAGGGCGGAGAGTTCTTTCAATCCCAGGTAAAAAACGGCGGTAAAAGTTGATCATGTCCAGGAATCTCTGGAGACCACGTACATCCTGGAGATGTGGTTGGAGGAGTAGGGCATCTACATGACGGCGTAGGGGAACGATGCCATCAACAGTAATCTTATGTCCCAGGTACTCAATCTCGTGTTGTACAAAACTACACTTATCCAGGTTCAACACTAATCCGTTCTGAACCAGGAGCTCTATAGATATACACTTATCCAGGTTCAACACTAATCCGTTCTGAACCAGGAGCTCTAGGACAACCCGGAGATGCTTGATGTGGAGTTTCCTGGTCCAACTGGCAATCAGGACGTCATCCAAGTAGATTAAAACAAAGGGTAATCCTCTAAAGATCCTGTCCATAAATCGTTGAAATGTTTGAGGCGCGTTTTTCAGTCCAAACGGCATATATAAAAACTCAAACAATCCAAATGGAGTCACAATGGCAGTTTTACAAATATCTGCCTCACTCATGGCCACCTACTCATGGGAACCTGATTGTAGCCCTTCACTAGGTCGAGTTTGGAGAAAAACTTGCAACCTTTGTTTGTAAAATCACGAATGTTAGGGAGAGGATACCGGTCTGGTCTGGTAACATTGTTTAAACGGCGGTAATCGCCGCAAGGACGCCAGGATTCATCAGATTTTTGAACCATATTTAGAGGTGAGGCCCAAGGACTGTATCCTGTATTTCTGTATTTCTTTAGTTATGTATTTCTATATTTCTGTATTTCTGTAGTTATGTATTTCTGTATTTCTGTATTCCTGTATTTCTGTATTTCTGTATTTCTGTAATTCTGTATTTGTGTATTTGTGTATTTGTGTATTTGTGTATTTGTGTATTTCTGTATTTTTGTATCGCTGTATTTCAGTATCTCTGTAATTATTTATATATTTTATCTATTTAAATACGTTGCATGTCTGTTTGTCCGTTTGTATCCAATAAACGTGCAAACGGCTGAACCGATCTAACCCAAATTTTGGGACCTGACATGACCCCAGGAAAATTTAAAAATGCTCAAAATTACAAAAATTTGTTTCCAAAAGTTTTTGATTTTTTTTAAATCGCGAACTTATTTTTGATATCGTTTTACAATTGAAGTAGAAGATTTGCGCGAAGCGCCCTAAAAGCCTAGTATTTCTATATTTCTATATTTCTGGGCAGAATCTGATAAAGTAGAACTTGGACGAAGCTATAAAAGAAAATTAAGGTGAGTGAAGAATTGATAACAATTCAATAAAATACCCTATATCTGTATACAACCTAATGGTGTAAACCTTTGATGTTTTAATCCTAGATAATTTGATCTAACAGAATTAATAATTTGAAATGTCAAAGATTTACAAACATTTAAACAAACATAAACAATTCACTGGACATTTGGATGTCATCGCTTAAGAATTTTTTTTAAAATTATTTTTTTTCATTTTTTATATTTTTTTAATCATACATTTCAAATTTTATTTAAAAAAGATATCTTTGTTTTTTACTGTTTGCATATTTGAGGGAGCGGTCTAGAAATGATAGAAGGAAGGAAGGAATAAAACTGATTACGACACTTCTTCTTCTCTGTCTAACATTTCTTATTCTTCTCATCGTTCTAATTGGTAAAAACAAATTTTTTTATTGGGAGGGGGGGAATACAAGGTTAATAGAGGGGGGGGGGGTCACGTGCCCCGTTGCTACCTCTGTTTCATCCCCGAATGTTTCTGGTTTATATTACGTGAATTAACAAGAAAAAACGAATGCATATTTGGTTTTGTTTGTAAAATTATACATTAAAATGTGCCATTTTTAGGAAAATTTACATTTATACAATCTTACAAATAGTCGACCTTCATAAACCGTATTTTTAAAAATATTAAAATGGTTTTTACTACTAGACACGTTGATTCTAGAAATGCACCTTAAGGATAGATCATACCTAGAACTAAGGGATTTGAACCCAAAATATTGAATTCAAAAATTGTCCAAAATTGAGGAATTTCAGCTCCCAGTGCCGTTGTCACTTCTTATCATATTTTAATTTCAGTTAAAAAATTGAAAATAGTTTCCATTAACACATGACAAACATTTTTCCATGTGGATTAAATTAACCAGAAACAACCTTAAAATGATTTTAAAACCTCAAATGATAAAGGAATTCAGTCTTTGCCACAAATTATGATTTTCTAATCCCTTTATTTTTGCAACCCAATGTCGTGTAAAGATATTTCGAACTATGAATTATGTTAGATAAAATAATTTAAGTTTGAAATATTAACGGTTTACACCATCAGAATGCAAAGAGAAAGGTATTAGAGAACGTGCAACTATTAATTGCGATTTGTAATTTTTACTTAAACACATTTTCTATTCTGTTTAGGGTACAGCAGATCAGAGTCTGATATCTCAAATACCAGAACTAACTTAACTCTTGATAATCTGGTGAACAATGTAACAGAATTCAATCCACCAGAACTGAATCCCGAATCTAAGGATGAAGATGAAGAACTGTTTCAGGATATTCCTCACCTAGACCAGGACGGAGATAAGCCTGGTTTAGAGATTCATGAGAAACATCAAGATGGAGAGGAGAAGAAAGAATCCGGAGAAAATCTAGGAGAACTTTTCTAAACTGTAAGATACGACACTATATTCTGGGATCCATAAGCGTGTGGATAAGGAAGACGATGTTTAAGCAGCTTTTTGTTTATTTGATTATATATATATATATATATAGGATGGAAATCAACATATTAAATGAAATGCGTACACAGCACATGGTTTCCTGTTTATTGGACTATTTTAAAAGCATAACATCTTACGGTCGTCTTCCCGTTCCTCAGTTTTATGGGTCACACTTTAGTTAATCATTTTTTTAAAATTTCAAATCTATGTTTTTTTTGCGATAGTTTATTTTTTCCCTTTATATTATGCCACAAATTAAATAATTCTGAAATTTCAGAAAAATATTAAAAATATTGAAAAAAGATTCTGTGACTTTAACTATAGATGGGTGAGCACATTTTCAGATGAATTCATGATTTTAGAAAAGATTAATTTTTCTGAAAAATACAGGAAGAAACCAGTAAAACATTATAATAAACGTAAACATAATTGTGATAATTATATAAACTAAATATGTCAAGTTACAAAATTATTCATTATTTTGACACTATTTTGGGCGTTTTACAGAACACTTTTTCTATTCCTTTTCAGGACTTTTTTTGCAGGCATTCTGTTTAGAATTTTGGAATATAATTTATTAATTTATTTAAACAAATCGAAAATCATATATTAAAATGTAATGGATGGATCACATTGATACTGATCAAAATCCCTCATAACAATATAAATCATTTGCTGTTTATCAAACATGTTCATTGCTGAAAACTTACCATGTTCAACTATCGTTTATATAAATAAATGTAAAAAGAAATAAAGAAATTATTCGTAAACTAACTGGAGATTATCAGAAATGAATTTATGATTAGATTGATATATTGTTCAATAGATGCATTGAGGAAAGTTATCATTGAAAGATGATAAAGCTATATTAGAGTTAATGATAAAAAAATAAACTGATGGTAGATGAATTTCTGGATAGAAATAGATGAATATAAAGAATAGAATAATTAATGAACAAATAAATGAATGAATAGATGAAAAAATAAATAGATAAAGAGATAAATAGATAAATAGATGAATAGATGAATAGATTGATAGACGAATAAAGGGTGTCAAAAAAAACACTCCACACTTTTTCCTCTTTCAAGCTTAATTATTACACGATCATAATGAAATTTAAATCACAGTGTCTCCAGGACGTTAGGACTACATGGTTAATACAAATTTCGTGGTTATTGTCAGGTATAAACCAAACTTTAATTTAAACTATTGCTGACAGCATAAGAAGCTAGCTTCAGTGGCTGTTTACAATTGTTCCATCCTGCCAGCAAGCTGAGCCCGCATCATGGACCATGTTAGAGTTCAGTATAATAAGGTATATTTCTTCTTGCAATAAAATATTGTCCCATCAGCTTAAAGTAATGGTCCACGGCAACTGTTCTCCTTGTTGAAGGAGAAGGGAAGGAGCTGGTTCTGCATTTGACTTGAAATGGTGGGTTACAGTGTACTCCAGATTGGTGTTTGTTTATATTAGCTCCGCCCTGAACTAGTAATCTGTAAATCAAAAAAGCTTGTAAGAGTTTAAGGCTTATATTGAACACCTTAAAATTGATTTTTTCATTTTTAAGCAAGTTGTGGACCTCCTTCAGCTTTGTTAATGCTTTTTTGCAGGTAGGCTGATCAATTGCATACTCAAGAAATAAAGGGTATTTATTCAGAGCAGTGTTGACAAAATTCGATATATTTTTAACCATGTAGTCCTAACATCCTAGAGACATTGTGAGAGATAAAAGTGTGAAGTGTTTGGTTTTTTGTTTTGACACCCTTTATATGAATAGAGAAATAGATATATAGATAGAAGAATAGATAAATAGATGAATAGATAAATAGGTGAATAGATGATTAATTAATAGATGAATATATAAATTGATGAGTAGATGAATAGATGAGTAGATGAATAGATCAGTAGATAAATAAATGATTTAATAAATTGATTTTTAGATAAAAGGATGAATAGAAAAATAGATGCAAAGATAAATAGATGAATAGATAAATAGATGCATAGATAAATAGATGAATAGATAAATAGATGAATAGATAAATAGATGAATAGATAATTAGATGAACAGATAAATAGATGAATAGATAAATAGATGAATAGATGAGAGGATAAATATATGAGTAGATGAATATATGAATATATGAGTAGATGAATAATTGATTTAATAAATTGATATATAGATAAAAGAAAGAATAGATAAACTGATGAAAAGATGCACAGATGAATAGATAAATAGATGAATAGATGATTGATGAATAGATAATGGAAAAATTGTCTCTAATTTGTAGAGTGTAAGTGGTGAGACAGTATATGTATTGTAGCAGGAAGAGACGCAAATATGATTTAATTGAAGAATTTAGTTTAAGTTAAACACTCACATTGTTCTCATATACAATATTCATTTCTAATATATTCATATTATACAGGATGTCAGAGTTGCCAGAGTTAGAAAGACAACATTTTTTTCCTAAACATACATCCAAACTAAATTCTCAAACCCTTCTTTTGCTATATAGAAATTAGACTATTATTCTAAATTGTATAAGGAGGCTTTAATGAAAAATATATTTTCGAATATGGGCATAAATTATTCAATACAAACATAAAGAAGTTGAGTTTTTGCCACAAACTCTGAGTTTCAAATCTCTATATCTTTGCAACCCATTGTCGTAGACCTTAGTTATTTCAAACTATGAATTCTGTTAGATCAAATGACGTAAATTTGAAATAGCAAAGGTATACACAATGCGGATTGATAAGATATAGTGATTAGAAGATTTGAGTTTGTGGCAATGCTGGTTATTCTTATCATTGTAATACTTTGCTGCTTGAAGCATATTCAAATTACTAAAGATTGAGAATTTTTTCTAGGATATTTGCGGATTTTTTCTCCTAAAGTTAATGAATTTTATCATATTTCATTCAGAGAAAAATTTCATAATTTCAGGAGTTTGTCTTTCAGGAGTTTGTATTTTCAGGAGTTTGTCTTTCAGGAGTTTGTCTTTCAGGAGTTTGTCCTGGCCCCCTATATATGCCTACAGCTGTGCAATAGACAAACGATATTTAAGAAACCTTATGTATATCTGATGTTGTTATGAATATGAATAGTTTTACAAGTAGAGCGATTATTATTTTTATCAATGAAAATGGGTCTTTACTTACATTTCTTAGTTGTTGTCTTTAATGTTTATAATTGATTATTTAAAACTTGACTTTGAGTCTAATAGTAGCCTTCCTGTTCAGCAGTTTTATGAGTCACATTGTAGCTTATACAGTTCCATAGCTGTGTGATTTTATAGATTTGACACGAACTCGATATTTTGACTCCTATTTTGACTCCTTGCAACCTGATCATGTAAATATTCAATATTTCATACTTATGTTACTTCATCTACCAGAATTCAAAGTTTGAAGCATATGAGGTCTATGCCACAGGGTTGCAAAGATATAGGGATAAGTAAATGACAGTTTGTGCTCAATTTCTTTCATTTACGTTCTTGACTAGTAGAAAATATACCATGAATACCCGAAAAACCTGATGAAAGTCATGAGAAAAACTTTCTAAAAAAACAGGAAATAAAATCTTGGAAACAGTCCCAATTTCCTCTCAAATTTAAGTTCCAGGGGTCTTTTATTTTGAGGACTTTTTCATTCCAAAGTTTAAGTATTTATAGATCAAAACTTTCTCAGTGGTTACCTAACCGGGTACTAACTTGATATATTTTTTGTAACTTTTAGGGTTGTTTTATAAGGTTAGTTTTCACAAAAATCTGAGCTAAGAGAAGATACATGCCATCGTTTTAAAACGATAATTCATTGGATAGTTTTTCCCTCCACAACTTTACAAAAAACAAGTTTAAAATGTCGGAAGCTTGTATTTATGAACTAGTATTTTGTAGTTCCAATTAGAAAGTCCAGAAACCTTGAAACTGAAAGAAAACAATCTCTACAGAAATATTATTGTTATTATTAGGAGGAAGATATTTAGAGCATTCACGGCAAACACACGTTGAACTCTCTAGCGTAGAGGTAATAATACACTTGTATACATCACATTTTAAGCAATATAACGTAACCTTTCTATCGTGAAATGTGCTAAATTTTGTCAATTTACCTCCCTCTGCCTGCTGCATAAATGCATAAATCACGTTAAGAGAGGAGAAAAAATAGATAAAATCAATTTTCATAACGAAAAATAAGAATATCGCGTCATTTTTACACAGAATTAGATTTAAAGGTAATGATGTGAATCGAACTGTAATCTTTTATCTAGAGGGTCACTTGCAATTATGTTGATGCAATCCTTTTAAAGACTTAATAACATCCAGGTGGTTGGACCTAGAGGTGTATGTCGTGTAGCAGATATGCCTGAACCACGTCAAGGACATACAGCAGGAGTACTGGGGGATACTGTTTATGTATGTGGGGGAACTAGTGGTAAACATATTCATGAAAGGTGAATAATAAAATCTCAAATTAACTTTGAGAAGAATGAAAACAACGGAACTTAATACTCGCCATAAACTCTAATCTTCTATGCTACTCGTTTAAACTTATGAATTCTGTTTGATCAAAAATTCAAAGTTTACACCATGAAGTTGCAAAGATGTGAGGATTAGAAAGTTATAGTTTGTGGCAATTAATCAGTTTTAAGAAACTTTTAAGAAACCACGTACCTTGGGCTCAGCTTTCTAAAATTTAAATTCCATAACGATGTGGTCTATATAACTCAATTTTTAAACTTACTAGAAATCTTCTTTCTAGCCTTAGAGGGCGCTTCGCGCCCATCTTCTAAATTAGTTGTGAACATGTTCTCTTTGTGTACATCGTAAAACAAAACAAAAATAATTCGCGGATTTTCACAAAAAATTTCGCGGATTTTCAAAATTTTTTAAAATTTAATGACGATCGAATTTTGATGGAGACAAATATTTAAAATTTCAATCATTCATAAACCTTCCCTGGGGTCCCTAGATGTCCCATAAAAAATTTGGGCCCGATCGGTTCAGACGTTTTGACGTTTATTGGATACAAACAGACAGACAGACAGACAGACAGACAGACAAGCCAAATTTATATATAGATAGCCTCAATATCCTCCGATAAGAAAAAATAAAAAAGTCAAAAAGAAAAAAAGTGAAAGCATGCTGGAACAAGGACCGAATGTTTAAATCAGTGGGATTGCAATACAATACACACCTAATTCTTAACCCCCTGTATATTCAAGACTGTTGTACATATTCTGAAACACCCTGTAAAGGTGGTACAAATTTTGGTATTTTAAAAAACACCCTGAGACCACTGTTTATATTCTGGAACACCCTGTATAGACGGGGGACTGCTGTGAATATTATGAAACACCCTATACAGGCGAGACTGTTTGACCTATGACCTTGAGAGTGGAGAATGGAGCAGATTAATGTCTCCTGCTCCCAAGGGACTAGCGTTCAGTGCTGTTGCCACAGGAAGGAACTCTTTATACCTCGTGGGAGGAAGAGAGAGTCTGTATAAGACATCTCAGGTCTCATCATTTCTATATTTTAAGGCATATTTGGTTTTAACAAAAATATTACACAAAGGAATTAAGTCTTTGCCACAAACTCTGATTTTTCAATCCCTATATTTTTGAAACTCGATGACGTAGCCCTTTGATATTTCAAATTATAAATATGTTAGATCAAATATTAGGTTTACAGCATAAGGTTGCAAAGATGAAGGGATTAGATAAATCAGAGTTTGTGACAAAGACTCAATTTCTTTGAAGGTTAAAATATTGGGGTTTCGAATGAAGGAACTGATTACTTGCCTCAAACTCTAAATTTCTAATCGTTGTGTCTTTGCAACCATTACAGACTCTAAACCATGTCAAAGTTTGAAATATCAAAGTATAGTTGTATAATATATTCTTCTTGTAATTAGACTTTTTGGACTATTTGTAACAATGTAAACATATTCTGAAATATTACGTTTTAAAAAATTCCTGGATGCTTCAGATTTTCAAGAGAAAATGAGAAGTTCTGGGATTGATTTCAATAGAAAACTTCTTAAGCGCGCAAAGATATTGAGTTTTTGTCACAAACTCTGACTTTCTTGTCCCTATATATTTGCGATCCAATATCGTAGACCTTTGATATTTCAAACTTTAGATTAAGTTAGATAAAAAATATAAGTTTGAAATATCAAGGGTTTACACTATCAGGTTGCAAAGATATAGAGATTTGAACATTTGAGTTTGTGGCAAAAACTAATTTTTTATTTCCTCGACCACTTCCCGCAAGCTATTCATTGAATTGGGTCCTAGAATAAATTTATATTTCTTGTAAGAGAAAAAGTAATGATACAACATTAGGGTAAATCCCCCATGAGTAGATGATTACTATAAAGAGGTTCTATTGAATTCTATTTAAGGATCGGCCCTGGGAGACTAGAAACCTGGTAATGGAGTTTAGCAGGCTTAGAAGGTTAGAAACGCATACACAGTCAGTACATATGTTATTACCCATACACCCCCCCCCCTCTCTTTTAGGTGAAACAGTGATTTTAGGGTGCGGCACCTCTCTTTCAGCTTCACTTTTTTATTGTTGCTCTGTGCGCATTTTTTAATTTTTGTTATCTTCTTTCTATATTTATAAAGAAGTAATCTTTATTTGTTGCTCTGTGCGCATTTTAAAATTTGTATTCCCTTATCTTTTTTCTATATTTGTTTCTCTGTCTGTCTGTTTGTTTGTTTGCATGTCCAACAATAACTAATAATCCTTTAAACCTTTTTGTCTCAAATTTTGACTGGAGAACTCGGTAGAACAACGGGAATGTTCTTAGCCTACAGTTTACAAATTCAAGATTGATAAGGTTGACTTTTGTAGGGAAAAAACTTAGTTTGTAGACAATGCTTGGTTTTTAATTTCAATAACATTATAAAACATTTTGCTTTAACTAAGGTTATATAATGCAAGGAAAGTTATTTCAGAGGTGCACGCATCTTTTGCACTGGAGTGTACTGTCTCTGTGCGGTAATGTGTAAGATGGGTGTCACAGCCTGACATGGGATCCATATTTCAAATAAAAAATCAATGAAATACTCTGGTCATAGGAAACTATTATGGCACGTCAATTATCAAAAGTATCAAAATTTAATCCTTTTAACCTCCTCGGATACTAAACGAACACTGATGCATCTATTCTTGTTTACAAATTCCGCCCAGAGAGAACTGGTTTCAATATGTACGCAGAGTATACCAACTGCCATAAACTTTCCTTGCATTATAACCTTGGCTTTAACTGAATATCTAAACGTTCAACAAACTCAACTGGTTAAGTTTAAAGGAAAGTGGAACACAGAGCTGTTAAGTTTAAAGAAATACAAAATACAAAATTAAGATGGAATAATTTAATAATAATTATTATTTAAATAATAAAACGTTAAATAATAATGTTATTTTTTAAGAAATGAGGAATCCTGGAGATATATGCCGAACATGACGGTTCCAGGTTATCTATCAAGATGTTTTCAGAAAAAAATACTTTAAATTATGGAAATGTAATTTTTTTTCAAAACTTTATAGAAGATGGACCTTTGCTTTGTTAAACATTAAGACAACTTTTTTGATCTGCCTATTTTTTTATCATTATTTTAACAATAAAATAATAAAAATGTCTAGCATTGGCAAGCTTTAAATAGGTTCAGATGGCTGTGCTGCTGTAATAGGGCAGGAGCTGTGGTATATAGGAGAACAAGGTGAATATATTATATCTAAATAAAGAAATAATCTCTGTAGAAATGTTTGCTTGTTTGTTTGGATGTCCAATCATAACTCATGAACCCCTTAACCGATTTTCCTCAAATTTAGATCGGAGAACTCACTAGAGCCAAGAGAAAGAACTTGATCTCCAAGTAGTTTTCTATTGAAATAAAAACTAAAATATTGTTGTTTTTCTTGTATATTCCTGTATTCCTGGATATATTTAGGAGTGGAGGTTTTGAAGAACGGTGAAGTATCTTGGAAGCACTTGGAACTGGATCGAATTAGGAGAACTAAAAAATCTCATATTTAATCGAATTTTTATTTTTTGAAAAGTGATGCGTAAAAAATTGCATGAATTTCGTGATTTTTACAAATTATAGTTATTAATAACTATAATTTTGAAATGTTATTGATAAATTACAAATACAATACTTCGTAATTTTTTAGCATTATTTAAATAAACCCATTTTCTGACGGTCGATAGATTATTATTTTTACATTGAATAATCTTATTGCTCACATGTAGATTCATTTTTTATTTAGTTTTTAATTTTTGATTACTTTTGAATTCGTCAAAATATATAAAAAATAGAAGAAAAAATGTTGAAGATTTAGAGAGACCTCCATTTATCATGTATCAGTTGATTCCGATTAACAAAAATACCTTTAAAGCATTATCTGATAAAGTATACATGGGGTCAATGCAAATAATTCTATGAGATGTTTCGTTTGAAATAATGAAACCAGGAATGAGACTTACGAGCTGAGAATGAGCATGATGAGGAGAAACCAGGGTGTTGGAGCCACCACCAGTGACCAGGGGGACCTGGAGGAGAGAACCATGAAACCGGTCGAGTTCAAGTTCAGGGAGGAGAAGAAGAAGGAGAGAAAAGAACGAAAGAATGAGAGAAATCTACAGATTCCTCAACCTCCCCAAAACAGGCAAAACTAGAATATTTTGTTTCGAGTGCTATGAAGTTTTTGGACAGAAATTTTTTCTTTATCGGGAAGATTCAAGTCCAAAAACTTTACAACACGTCATTCCAAAATTCAAATTTTTATTTCTAGATATACTAAGCTACTTAACAAAGCAGAAAAAAAATAAAAGTTAATTTCAAATTAATTTTTATTTAAATTTCAAATGTTTTTCTTGGAAAATACTAGATTTTTAAAATCAAATCCTGGAACCGAAATAGTAAATAAAAAATAATGAAGTACACAAAAGTTTTATTTATAATTAATTCTTATTATTTCTGTTTAGTTTCCCTATTCTCCTGTCTGATGGTGAACTACAGAGGAAAGATGCTGCTGAGGAGAGAAGGAGGATAAAGGAGGAGGAGAGAAGGAGAAGAAACCTGGAGAAACTACAAGTAGAGAACCCGTCCAGTATCTGGGATCAAATTAGGAACGGTGAGTAATTACGTCAAATCTGAAGTAAATTGCACTTAAGGTTGAAATCTTAGATGGCCTAAATCATTACAGCTATTATGTAAAATTAAAATGTTTTTAATATCTTTGCAAACTTTTTTTATGCAAACCTTTGATATTTCAAACTTAGATTATTTTATCTTTAAGTATTAATAGTTTGAAATATCTAAGGTCTACGACACTGGGTTACAAAGATATAGAGATTAGAAAATCAGACTTTGTGGCAAAAACTCAACTCCTTTGTTTTTCTCTTTCTTACTTAAAATTAAAAACCAAGTTGCTACGACACTTCAAATCAACTTCAAAGTCAACCCAGTCTGAAAATTTGATGCACATTATTCATATCTGGCGAGATCTCTGTGAGATATAGGCGGGTTCAACGAAGATGATACCAGTATAAAAAAGATTAATAAAATATATTAGAATGCCAGGAAGGCACAATGTTCTTGGAAGGATTAAATGGGACTGTAGTCGAAATCTTAAAGGGAGTGACTGGCAAGTTGAACTGATAATGTAGTATTGTGGAGATATTTTTTAGGAATCATTTGAGACCTATGAGACATATTTGTTCAGCAAGAGCGCGAATTCAAACTTTAAAATCCTCATAGATTGTTCGTTTTTAATGGATGATTTTGAGAATCGGTTTTTAAAAAATTATTCAAGCACGACAACGAAAAGTGTAGTAAAAATTCTTAAGTAAACTAATTAATTGTTTAGGAACAGGTTGAGAAAATAGAAATTAACTCTTATCATCAAAAATCTTGTTCAGTTATGGATTTCTGTAATGTCTCATTGTTCACAAAAATTTTCTGTAGATTTCCTGGAATTTTTATTGAAGAATTTGAAGAAATCTGAGAACAAATTCATAAAGAATAAGAAATCCAATATAATGATGAAAAAGAAATAATTGATTCTAATATTGATTTGTTGGGAAAATTTTAATTGAGAAACATCTATTAATCTTACTGTAGATTTTTAAAACTTTTTAGTCATTGTAATTAAATAACTTTAAAAAAATCGATTCTCAAAACGTAACCACTCAAATGGATGATTTTGAACGTCGACTTTGCGCTCAAACTCAGTATCATAAAAATTAATACTTTTCGTTTAGCAAAAACCTCCTTTTTCTACCTGAAAATTAATAACTTTTAATTCTCTATAAAAGTTGGTTGCGAATGCATGCGGTGGAGAAAAGGATTGGGTTGCGGCAGAGAAAAGGATCGTTTGAAATAAGTCAACAGTCCCCTTGAGAAACTCATTCCCAGGGAATAAATATCTCATAAGTTAAACACAGATTATAGTTTTTCCATTTATTGCTGTACAAATTGTTTTGTGTTTATAAACACTCCTCGGCAGCATAAGTTATCATCTTTGTTTCTTATTCTAGTGTTTGACAAGGGATCTAAGGGAGTGGATGAAATATTCAACAAGGACGAATCTCCAGTGGAGTTTCTCACCAGGAGAAAAAGACAGGTGGGAAAATGATAAATCTTGAAAACTTGCCCTGAGACAGATTAAATCAGATTATCATATTCTGAATCATTTTACAAAGAACAATTAAAAAAATGTTGTAAAAAGATCGAAGTCGGCCACTATTCATCCATTTGTCAAGGTTTTTAAAAAATGGTTTTAAAATCTGTATTTTCCGAATTCTTTGTTTGTATTTATTCATTAATTAAAATCCTAATAAAGTGAATTTGTGTATTTAGCCATATTAAAATTAAAATGAATTTCACAAAAGCAAAGTTTAGAAATGAAACCTAACAACATCTTATGATTATCACTGTACTTTGAATATTCTGTGAAATCATTTGTATTTTTTTCCGAGAAATATTCCTCATTAATAATTATTTTACTATAATAAATCTATTCATGCTATAGTGACGGAATAGAATATTGATTTGAAGGTTACTTGCAACCCAACTTTGCTTGCAACCCAAAATGGACAAAAGGCCAATGATTTTATAAAATTAACAAACTTAACTTTTCTAATTCCAATATCTTTACAACTTGATGAAGTAGACCTTTGATATTTCAAACTTAGACTATATGATATAATAGAATTTATAGTTTGAATTATCAAAGGTCTACAACATCGGGTTGCACAGATTTAAAAATTTAAGATCAAGAGTTTGTTGCAAGAACTCAGTTCCTTTGTAAAACATTATTTGAATTAATTCAACAGGACCTTCAATCAATCCCTTATTTAGGTTGACAAGATCTGAGAACAATCCCTTATTTAGTTTGACAAGATCTGAGAACAATCCCTTATTTAGTTTGACAAGATCTGAGAACAATCCCTTATTTAGTTTGACAAGATCTCAAAACAATCTCTTACTTAATTTGACAAGATCTGAGAATAATCCCTTATTTAGTTTGACAATATCTGAGAACAATCCCTTATTTAGTTTGACAAGATCTGAGAACAATCCCTTATTTAGTTTGACAAGATCTGAGAACAATCCCTTATTTAGTTGAACAGAATCTCAAGACAATCCCATATTTAGTGTGACAGAATCTCAAGACAATCCCATATTTAGTGTGACAGAATCTCAAGACAATCCCTAATAGACTAGAAAAGGATCTGTGAACATTTTAAACCGGAACAGTCCAACCATATTGAGAAAAGGCAAGATCAATGTTTAAAGGAACTGCATGCGTAATTTCATGTGTTCTCCATTTGATGTTAGCCCGATTCACAACAGTACCTTATAAACCTTTGGCTGATCAAGATTAAAGAGTACAGTTCGAAATCAGGCATTGCCATTCTTGGCATTGAGGGTCACTTGAAATTACGCTTACAGTCCCTTTAATATCTTTGCAATTAAAAAGTCATTTCTGTAATAACTGTAGAAAGGCCGATGGCAGAAGAACTATATAAACATTTCTTTGTAAACAAAACCGAACTGACTCTTTGAGAGATACATGTTAGCAAAATTTAACAACATTTCATATAACTTAGTTCTAACTCATCTTTGTTTGAAATCTGATATTTGTTGAACACAACCTCTTATCTAAAAGAGCTACGGAAAAGAGAAAAAGAAGATGAAATGATTTAATTCAATCAAATAGTTTTAATTTTTCCGCATTTACCAAGTTACCAAGTATCGATACTATTGCACAAAATAAATTACGTCATGTTGAAATTGGAGAAACAGAATCTAAAAGTTATTCGTTGTTTCTAGATAACACGACCTCCAAGAGTTGACATTGTTACGAGAGCACCTTGGCTAGATTTTCAGCAACCGTTCCTAGAAACTCCTCTCCAGGTAGGTAGTTAAGTACTAGACAAACCTGACTCTCCAAGTAGGTAGTTTAGTTTAGTACTAGACAGAACCCTCCCCTCCAGGTAGGTGGTTAAGTACTAGACAAACCTTAATCTCCAAGTAGGTAGTTTAGTTTAGTACTAGACAGACTCCTCCAGGTATGAAGTTTAGTACTAGACAAACTTAACTCTCCAGGTAGGTAGTTTAGTACAAAAAGACAGAACCCCTCTCTATAGCTAGGTGATTTAGTACTATCCAAACCTCTCCTCTCCAGGTATGTAGTTTAGTACTAGACAAACTCCACTCTCTAGGTAGGTAGTTTAGTACAACAAGACAAAACCCCTCTCTCCAGCTAGGTGACTTAGTACTATTCAAACCCCTCCTCTCCAGGTATATAAATTATTACTAGACAAACTGCACTCTCCAGGTAGGTAGTTTAGTACAAGACAAACCCCCTCTCTATAGCTAGGTGATTTAGTAATATTCAAACCCCCCCTCTCCAGGTATGTAGTTTAGTACTAGACAAACTCCACTCTCCAGGTAGGTAGTTTAGTACAAGACAAACCCCCTCTCTATAGCTAGGTGATTTAGTAATATTCAAACCCCCCCTCTCCAGGTATGTAGTTTAGTACTAGACAAACTCCACTCTCCAGGTAGGTAGTTTAGTACAAGACAAACCCCCTCTCTATAGCTAGGTGATTTAGTACTATTCAAACCCCCCCTCTCCAGGTTTGTAGTTTAGTACTAGACAAACTCCACTCTAGGCAAGATTAATTCATTATATCATAAAACAACAAGGCAGATTAGACTATAGTTTGTAAATTATGTAAGCCTGGACACCAAAAAAACTTAACACGATAAAAGTCCCTTATTATCAATCATTATGCACTTTCACAAACACAGATCACTTAACAAGAAAGCATTAGGTTCACAACTTTTTGTATTAACCATAGATCGTATAGATTTGGACTATTTTGACCGATGCACAAAAGTGCCTCTCTCTATTGTAAAATCTGTGCAATCTTTAGTAAATCTAACAAATCGAAAATCAAACAATAAAATTTATATCAAGGTACCACCTGTGGTTCAATATAGACCACCTGAGTATAACCCTAGAGATCAGAAATCCAACCTGATCTGGCCTGGACAAGGAGTAAGAGGATCAGGACAGAGCAGAGAAGACCAGAATCCAAGGGACTGGAACCAGCGGAGAGGAAAATTCCAAGAAGATGGATTATCAAGGTCTAATTTTTTAACTTAAAAATCTGAATTTATGTAATGATTGAAATTATTTTTTCAATTACTTTGAAAATAATTTTTTTTTTAAATGTATAAACTGATTTTTCGGAGGCAGAGATAGAACTGAACATTTCGGAGGCAGGGATGGAACTGAGTCTCCTCCGAGAAATGCACTTAATGACAGAAGATGGGAGGCATTCAACCCGAAGGAATCAGCCACAAGGCCTCCTTTCGGAGGTAAAGTCAAAACAAACCAAATTGTAGAAACCAATGTTTATCCCCTTTACAAAAGAGTAAATAAATGTTGCTATGTAAGTAATATCTAATAGGGTCGGTGACCTCCCTTCAATTTTAAAAGAGGAGGGGGGGGGGGGGGGGGACCCCTCCCCCATTTT